TATTGTAAAGATGAAATTAAAACAGCATGAGCTTATGAGAGTAACATCTGTCTTACCATTGATCACAGGAGTTGATTGATTGATTGACTGACTGATTGATGCACGTGATCTAGCAGTTCATCCAACGTCCCCATAAACGACAAAGCTACCAAGATCACACAAGTGCCTCCAGACCTTTATCATGTAGAAGTTGCAAAGAGGTTTCATAACCATCCTAGGGGAAATATTAATTCAGAACAAAAAAATCGACCCACTTCAGCAAAACGAACTGCCCTAACTTTTCTGTTTTCAGGCTTTATTCTTACCAACTACATTTTAATGTAACTATGTATCCATACTGTATGTTCTAGTTTCCTACTTCTTGAACTTGCTAGCTAACATATTGAAAATCACTTCTTAGTGCACTGTTCTCCAAAATAAATTTAAGGGCAGCATTATTTTTATTTTTTAAATCCTCACCTGAGAATATTTTTCCATTTATTTGCAGACAGTGTGGGAGAGGGGGAGAGAGAGAAATAGAAAAACATCAGTGTAAGAGAGACACGTCGATTGGTTGCCTTCTGCACGACCCCGACCAGGACTGGGGCCAAACCGCAACCGAGGCACATGCCCTTGATTGGAATTGAACCCGTGACTCTGGTCCGAGGGCTGACACTCTAAACACTGAGCCAAACCAGCCAGGGCAGCAGCATTATTTTTAATGCAATCATGACGTGGATAGGGCAAATGGTAATAAATGAGGATTTTGTTTTTCCCCCAACATTGCGACACTGTAGTCAATGTTCGAAATTCCGCGCAGTGATTATCTGTGCGGTGGAGCGTGGGATGCATTTGAAGCTGGGTGATGGGTGTGTGTGCTCATTATGCAGTTCTCTCCACTTATGTTTGGAATTTTACATCATAAAATTTGTTACATATTCAAATTTGTCTGATATTAATATGCTTTTATGGGGGGGGCGGGGAAGGGAATTAACATTGTGTGGATTTTTTTATTGTTCTTTTTTTTTTTAAATTTCTTTGGTAATGGTGTTGTTTAGATAGATTTAAAACAATGTAGCACGATACTCCCATCTTTTAAGAGATGACCTTAATCCATTTTCATTTATTGTGATTACTGATTTACTGGCTTTCTGGTGTACAATTTTTTTTTTTTTGGTTATTTTTTTCTCTCTCCTGTTCTGCCTTTCTGGAATATTCTTCCACACTTTTCCCCCTTCTTTTGGTTTAAAAGCTGTAGATTATAGTCACGTTTGACATCTCGAGATACATACCAAGTATATTTTTCCTGTAAAATCTGCGGCTGGTTCAATGATGCTCCCTTTGTGTGTATCCCTTAAGGTCTTGTCTTTGTTCTGTAGTTTCACTGTGCTGTGCTGAAGTATGGATTCATTTATCATTGTTTTTAGTAAATATTGAATTGATATAGTAGAATTTTTGGAAAAACATGTGTAAGGTAGAAAGGATAACGATACAGCAAACTCCGTCTTGCACCAGATGAAGGGGGGCCGCAGCGACGCTCCTCAGGCCCTCTGTGTGCCCACCCGACCCTCCCCCAGGCCCGAGCCTTCCGCTCCCTCCTGGGAGATGATTACTACCCTGAATTTCGTATTTTCCTTTTTCTTGTTTCTTTGTAGTTTTATCACATATTTAGTCTTCTAAATGGCTTATGGTTTAGCTTTGCACAGGACAACATTTTGCATAAATGGAGCCATAAGATTGAAGCAACTTGCCGTTTTCTTTCTTTATTTACTTTTTTTTTTGGTTTTTTGTTTTTATCCTCACCCGAGGACATTTTTTTCATTTTTTTGTTTTTTTGTTGTTCAGATAGAGTGGGAGGGACAGAGAAGAAGAGAGAGAGAGAGAGAGAGAGAGAGAGAGAGAGAGAGAGAGAGAGAGAAATAAACATCGAAGTGAAAGGGACACATCGAGTGGTTGCCACCCGCACAACCCAGCCAGGGCTGGGGACAAACTGCAACTGAGGTATGTGCCCTTAGCGGGAACCGAACCCGGGTCTCTCTGGACTGCAGGCCAACGCTCTAACCGCTGAGCCAAACCGGCCAGGGCTCTTCATTTACTTTTTAAGATACAATATTGTTTCCTGTTCCTGAATTTAATTTATTTCCACTGCTGGGTAGTATTCCTTTCAGTGAATGTACCACACTTTATTCATTCTGTTGTTGATGGGCATTTGGATAAATGAGAAATGAGATTTCATATTTTTAAATTATTTACTGTATCTCAATATTACATTCACAAATTGTGTCCAATATAGAGTTGATCTCATCTGTTGAATTTTTAATTTCAATAGCCATATTTCATATTGCCAAGATTTCCAAATAATTCTCTTTTTTAATCTACCTGTTCTTGCTTTTTAGAAAATATTTGTTTAATAATTTCTTATTTTTCCTGTTAGTGGAAATAATGCCTTCATTTATCTCTGTGAACATTTCTTTTTTTTTTCTTTTCTATTGAATTTATTGGGATGATTTTGGTTAATAATGTTATATAGGTTTCAGGTGTACAATTCTATAATCCATCATCTGTATATTATATTGTGTGTTCACCACCTTCTCTGAACATTTCTTAAAAACTTTAAATTCTTGCAGACTATTCTATAAAAATCATTTCACCCAATGTGATTTTGTGTTGTGATTGTTGGTAATTTTCCTTATCATTTTTTCCCATTTTTAAATTAATCAAGTGTTACAAAAACACCATATTTTTTTTTATTTTTATTAAAAATTTTAAAAGTTATTTGTTAATCCTCACAAGAGGATTTTAAAAATTGATTTATTAGAAAGAGTGGAAGGTAGGGAAGGAGGGAGGTAGAAAGGGAGAGAGCCAGAAAGAAAGAAACATGAATATGAGAGACACATCAATTGGTTGCCTCCTGCACGAGCCCCGACCAGGGCAGGGGATTGAATCTTCAACCCAGGTATGTGCCTTGACTGGGAATTGAATCCAAGACCCTTTGGTGTGTGGGCCAACACTCTAACCATTGAGCACAACTATAATTCTTTTACTTTAAAAAAAATTTTTCCTTATTGATTTTAGAGAGAGAAGAAGAGAGGGAGAGAGATAGAGACATCGATTGGCTGCCTCCTGCATGCCCCGCACCGGGGATCAGGCCCACAACCTGGGCATGTGCCCTGACCGGGAATTGAACCGGCGACCTCTTGGTGCAGGGTCGACGCTCAGCCACTGAGCCACCGGCCGGGCAGCCGTCGTTCTTTAAATGCCCAAGTCCCGAGCTGGTCCTCTCACTGCCAGGGTCACACCCTCTTGGCCTGTCCCCCACTTTGCTCTCTCCCTGCCCTGGCCCAGGGACAGTCCTGGGAGGAGGCGGGGCAGCGCTGGAGGCCGAGGGGACAGCATTGCACAGACGGCTAGTTTGGGTTGGGGAAGAGATTAGGAAGGGCAGGTTCTTAAGGACTTACTTTAATATCAAATATCCAGCCGTATTCCCAGCCCCTTTCAAATCATTCCCCATAGCCCAGCTCCTCTCTGCCCCGCACCCATCATCAAATGGGGTAGCCCTTGCTCCTCCACATCCATCCCTGGCCCCAACCTGCCCCTCGAGCCTCCCTCTGGTGGGGATTCCTGGACCCGTTAGCTCCACAGAACTCCCAGGGATGGAGTGCAGGGACCCGGGAGGGGCCACTGCGAACCTGGACGTTGCAGAGGTGATACAGGCGCGGGCTGGGGAACAGTGTATTGATGATAAGGAGAGAAATTTTATTAGCAGGCCCAGTCTCTAAGGTGCCCTTTTCCCAACATGCCCCCCAGTATCCCGGGGAATGTTCTGAGCTCCAGACGGGGTTCTCCACGCTCCTGGCTGCTTCTCCTGTCAGCTCCCAGAAACTCGCAAACCCCAGTCCAGAGTCGGCACAGCGGCCCAGGTGGCGATCTGCCTCCCAGCCCTCAGGTGCTGGGTGCGAGTCGCCAGGTCCTGTAGCTCGGAGGGGGTCGGGGTCTCCTTCCCACCCTCCACTGAGCACCGGCGGGGGTCCTCGCTGAGGGTCTCAGTGGCCCTCTGCACGTCACTGGGCGTGCTTGGCACTGGCTGACCGACACTGCCCACGGTGCCTGGTGCGCTTGGTCCTGGGTGAGAGTTGTTTTGCCTACAGCCTGCGGAGGAGCCGATGGCTCGTGATCCGCCTGCCGACAGCCGCTGAGGCAGGACGGGACAGGGCCTAGATTTCTCCATGAGCCTCATTCTCTTCGTCGGCTCATTTTGGAAGGGAGCTGGTCCCTTCCTCCGTTGTTCTTCTCGCCTCTGAGCCTGCCCTTCCCTGCCCCCCAGCTTGTACCTGGCTCTCCAGACCCCAGCCCATAACGGGTGGCTGTTGGTTGGGGGGTGACCCTAGGCTTCTCTTTTTATATTTTGTTATTATTACAACGTGTTTGGGCGGAAGGACTTCTCAACGTGTAAATTCACTTCAGCTTCTCTCTCAAGTGTTTTAAATGGGGAAGAAACAGGCAGTTTGCCAAAGTGCCTTGACTTCTTCATGAAGCTGCCTTTTTCTTCCCTGGGGTGTTTTCTAATCCTCCCCACGGCGATGGAGCTCAGGGGAGTCTGTGCCCGTGGCTCTGGCTTATGGCCCTGCAATCACACTGAATTGCCCTGGCTGGTTGCTCAGTGGTTAGAGCACTGGCCCCTGCACTGTAGGGTCTCGGGTTCGATTCCCAGTCAAGGGCATGTACCTGGGTTTCATCCCTGGCCCTAGTTGGGGCACGTGAGGCAACCAGTCGATGTGTCTCTCTCACATCGATGTTTCCCTCTCTCTCCCTCCCTTCCACTCTCTCTCAAAGTCGATGGAAAAAATATCCTCAGGTAAGGATTAAAACAAAAACCAATCACACCCAGTTAACAGACTACACATTCTACACCACAATGCACCGAGTATTTGTTTTCCATTTACTTATCTGTTGTGGTTAATGGATCGTAAATGTCATAGTACTTTCTGCCTGGATCATTTTTTTTTTCTTCCTCCTTGTAGACTGTTCTAGAAAAACTGGAAAGAGAGTTACAGGAAGCCAACCAGAACCATCAGGCATTGAAGAAAAGCTTCCTAGAACTGACTGAACTCAAATATCTCCTGAAGAAAACCCAGGACTTTTTTGAGGTCACTATTTGGGGACTATTTAGTAAAGGCCCTTCCCTGCCCACCCCCGACCCCCGCTGGATGATTTGAAATATGAACACATCACTGTTTTTGTCCCATGGCTGGGCCTTTGGTGAACGGACAGTGTTCTGGGTGCAGTAACTGTGGTGCTGGTTGAGTTCAATGCAAACGTACCGCGGTGTTCATTAGGAAGTATGTGCTCCAAATGGCCCAGACAGAAGTGGGAGTCAGAACAAAGCAGAACAGTTCGTTAGAGCAGATCTGGGATTGGGGCAGGAGGAGACCGGGGAAGCTGTCTGTGTGGCAGGGCGCACTCCACATTTTGAATTCTGTTCACTCTTTGTGGAAAACTAAAGCTCCTTTAAACACAGAAGAAACCTTGAGGTGTGGGGGGCTTTCCAGGTAGATTAAATACATTTCAATGAAAACACTGATTTAACTTTCAGACAGAAACCAATTTACCGGATGATTTCTTCACTGAAGACACTTCCGGCCTCCTGGAGTTGAGAACTATGCCTGCGTACATGGCCGGAAAGCTGGGGTCAGTGTCTCTGTCTGAAAGTCACGGGCATCGGTCCTTGGTTGGCAGCTCAGTGTCCGACCTGTGACGGATTTCCTTGAGTGTTTGAATGAATGAATGAGGACAATTTTACGTGAATTATTCCACAAACCCAAGAGTAACCTTACTAGGTTGTTGGAGTTGCAGGTTGTGTTACCTTGTCAGTGGTGACACTAATATTCTTTTTTTTTTGTTAATCTTCACTTGATATTTTTCCATTGACTTTTAGATAGAGTGGAGGGGACAGGAGAGAGAGACAGAGAGACAGAGAGAAATAAAGAGAAACATACATGTGAGAGAGACACATTGATTGTTGGCCTCCTGCAACCGAGATACGTGCCCTTGACCGGGAATCAAACCCACGACCCCTTGGTCTGCAGGCTGACGCTCTGACCACTGAGCTGAACCAGTAGAGCGACACTAACATTTTTGAGCCTGGAGCGCAATGTCTGTCTTGTACCCACATGGGAAAGATCATCATGGGGATAATCATTTTGATGGGTTTTCTTAACCGTTCCCTGGTTTTGGAACAAGGCTTATGGGATATATGTTTTTTTCTTTAACTTTGAAATGCTGATTTGATAATAAAGTAGATTTGAACTTGGATGTCTGAAGTGTAGTAAGAAATTGGGACAGTCGTGCAGTCAAGTCATTCACGAGTAGTGCTTAATACAGTGTGATTATGCCCATCAACGTGTGTGGTGACTCAAAGGTAGGATTTCAGTGTCCAAGTGAGGTTGATGAATTGATCAAAGGGCTGGGTTCTAGTTTTTTACAATTCTAGTTTTTTATCCAATAGATATTTGAGGGCCTGCTATTTGAGGTACTAAGCATTGAATTCAAAATGGAAAGAAAAAATACTTATTGAAAATAGTTGATCAGAAAGTAATACAGGATCAGCATACATTTAAAATAATAGACCAATGGAAGTAACCTTCTTTTTTTAAAATTTTTATTTATTGATTGATTTTAAAGAGAGAGGAAGGAAGAGGGAGAGAGAGATAGACACGTCGATTGGCCGTTTCTGCATGCCCCTCACTGGGGACGTGGCCCACAACCTCGGCATGTGCCCTGACTGGGAATTGAACTGGTGACCTCTTGGTGCATGGGTTAACACCAAACCATTGAGCCACACAGAAGGCAGAGGTAGCCTTCTTAAGGTTGATGTGTAAAGTTTGGGTCAGAAATTATCTAGATACTGGGTGATGGTGAGAGTAAAGATGTATATAAATCCATGTGTACATTTCACTCTTAGTATTTTATTTGTAAACACACATAGAGACCACTGTTGAGCATTTTGAACATCTACAAGGCTATAATGAATGGTCTGTTGTGTATTTTTATTTTAGTTATTTAAAAAATTTTTAATTAATTTTAGAGAGAGAGGAAGGGAGAAAGAGAGAGATAAAAACATCGATGAGAGAGAACATAGACTGGCTGCCTCCTGCATGCTCCCCACTGGGGATCGGGCCCACAGCCTGGGCATGTGCCCTGACCGGGAATCGAACCGGCGACCTCTTGGTGCATGGGTCAGTGCTCAGCCTCTGAGCCACACCAGCCGGGCTAGTCTGTCATATTTTTACTTGCAAATAATTGAAAACATAGTATTGGGTTGCTAAAGGAAACCTCATCATGTCAAAGAAAACGGGAAGTCACAAGGGACTTGAGGCACATTAGGGCTGGGCTGCAGAGGTGTCATCGCGTCCTGCTCAGCGGGAAGCGGTCCTTCAGTGGCTTCACGTCTTCGTGTCTCCCAGAGCCCTCTCCGCCCCACTCCCTGTACCTCGGTAATGTCTCCTCTCTGACTGTTCGTACAGGTTCACGGCTGGAGTGATCAACAGGGAGCGGATGGCTTCCTTTGAGAAGCTGCTGTGGCGAGTTTGCCGGGGGAACATCTACTTGAAGTTCAGTGAGATGGACACGGTCCTGGAGGACCCGGTCACAGTGGGTATCTCAGGCTGCCGGTCACTTCTTCCCAAACGTCCTGTGGGCCTCACCAGAGGGCTTTCGTTCCTGCCGAGTCTTTAGTTCTATGAAGCAGTATCTATTTCCTCACTTTCTCTTTTTTCCTGTTTCTATACCTTTCAAAGGTAAGTTAAGAACTGGTTCTTATGAACACCTCGTTCTTGCAAGAAACTTAGCTGTACTGGTTTCTAGAAGCTTAGCTGTACCTCCTTCCACACCAGGCAGCAGCTGTATCTTTTCTTTTTCTGTTTTTAGTCATGATTTTGAAAAATTAGTTTGAGAGAGAAAGAGGAAGGGAGGGAGAGAGAGAAGCATCAATGTGTTGTTCCATGTGTCAACACATTCATCGATTGCTTCCCGTATGTGCCTGACTGGAGATCGAACCCGCAACCTGTATCGGGACGATGCTCTAACCAACTGAGCTACCCAGCCAGGCTGCGTCTTAAACCACAAAGGACTAAACTGATTGAGGTCAGAGAGCCTCAGGCTTCAGCGTGCACGTGAGCATGAGAAGGACCTGGGGGTCTAGTTAAAGCCACCTTCTGGCTCAGCGGGGCTGCCGTGGGCTTGAGAGTCTCCCTTTTTAGCCAGCTCACTGAGGCCGCTGGTCCACAAACCACACACTTCACACAGGGGCTCAAGGGTGGTCTTCGCTGAGTGACACATTTATTGCTGTTAATTCCGTAGGGCCTCTAGCCTTCCCGTTGGTATTTAAATCCACTTGAACTTTAATCCCGAGAAGCTAGGCTTATTTCTGAAAGTCACCATCTTTTCCAGAGTAGGGGCTAGAAAAATTAATGTTTAAGTTTTATTTGATAGAAAACGTCTTCAGAGTTCAATGAAATTTAAAATAAGACAAAACTTATTAGGAAAAAAACCCCACAAACCCTCACCACTTTAATTTTTATTTTTCTCTTGTGCTGTTTTTCTCTAATCCATTGCCATAGACGGGCAGGTGTAATTTAATGCGGTTGTAGGAATAACATGGAAATCAATTTTCCACCTTCCCTTCATTTTAGATAGTATACTTTTTTCTCTGTATTACTATTGTCCTTTATAAATATTAGAGTTTGACATCGAACCACCAATTTCATAGTCATGTTTTGCCATGTAATAGTCATGGTGGTAGAGAGAGTATTTCTTTTTTGTTTTATCCTTACCCGAGGACATTTTATTTTTTGCATTTATCTTCAGATAGAGTGGAAGGGAGAGAGGAAGGAAGAGAGAGAGAAACATCCATGAGAGAGAGAGATATCCCCAACCAGGGCCAGGGACAAACTGCAACCAAGGTACGTGCTTTTAGTGGGAACCGAACCTGGGACTCTCAGGTCCGTGGGCCGACGCTGTAACAGCTGAGCCAAACCGGCCAGGGCAAGAGAGTACTTCTAAAATGAGCATCTGGAAAAGATGGCTTCAGCCTGTTGACCTTGAATGTTCACCGAGCAGATGACCTGAGATCAGAATGGATTCTTGATGTTGGTGGATCAAGGGACGAAAGCGCCCAAGAGATTCAGAAAGGACCAGGGGTGGACTTCATGTCTGAAGGAACCTTGGAAATAATGTGAAACGGGCAGCTCCTCAAATCCTAAAACACCCCTTTCCTGCTCCGAGGGTCATTTGCCAGAGAGAGATGATACATTTGCATATTATTTTCAGTCAATGTTTGAAATTTCCATTGAGTTGTGACCTGAACTATCTATTTTTGGACGACTTTTTCCCAGTTTTTCTCCAGAATACAGACACTATGATGAGCATTGTTGTGCATGTGGTATTTTAGTTTCTTTTGAATCATTTCCACGGTAGGAATTCAAGGGAATAGGGTTGCTGGCTTAAAGGGTGTGGGCATTTTTGTGGCAATGGCTGGGTCCTGACAGATGGCGTCCCAGTGGGGTTCTGCCTGGATTTACTGTAACCTTTCCAACACTGGGTCCCCCCCCCCAATGAAATAGGAGCAAAACAGCACATTTCTTTCTTTGAGGTAAAAGTTGAACATTTTCTTTTTTTTTTTAATCCTCACCTGAGGACATTTTTTCCATTTTTTGTTCAGATAGAGTGGGAGGGAGAGAGAGAGAGAAACATTGACGTGAAAGGGACACATCGAGTGGTTGACACCCGCATGACCAACCAGGGCCAGGGACAAACTGCAACCAAGGGACGTACCCTTAGCAGGAACCGAACCCGGGTCTCTCTGGACCGCAGACTGACGCTCTAACCGCTGAGCCAAACTGGCCAGGGCAAAAGTTGAACATTTTCATCGGTGCTGTGAAATATATATTCTCCCTTATTTGTGAATTGTCAAACTTGGACTTGAAAGATGCATTTTAATCAGTCCTTATGGATGTACAGTGAGTAGCTGTGAGTCAAACATTAGACATGGCTTTACCTTTGTTAAGTAGCAAGCACCCACTCACCCCGGACGTGTCTGTGATTTAACCCCGGGAGTTAGGTCAGCTCTTTTCATTTGAAGCTTTGCAGTATCCTAGCGACCCTCTTCTGGGTGTTTACTTGTTTATAACTACATCTCTTAAGTACGGGGCTTAGAGCTGAATACCAGGCCCAGCTGTGATCCAGCTGGGGGAGCCATCCGTGGAGTTGCCTGTCCCTTTAAGACTCCAGGGCTCTCCTGCTGGGCCCATGCAGCTGGCCTTCAGCCGTAATGGAGCATGGACGCAGATCGACTGGGAGAAATAGAAGTTTTCCAGTTTAAAACGTATTTTTTAAAACCTAAAAACAGAACTTGACATTTTTATTATAGTCTAACTGGAGAGAAAAATGAATATGTTTCCTCGTTCTGGTTTTCCAGAAAGAAGAAATCAAAAAGAACATGTTCATCATATTTTACCAAGGAGAGCAGCTCAGGCAGAAGACCAGGAAGATCTGCGAGGGGTAAGGGCCGGCCCTGCTCTTTCCTCGGCGGTCGGGCCGGGTCGGGCCGGGTCGGGCCGGGTCGGGCCCAGAGGTGTGCGACGCAAAATCCGTGGAGCCTCTTGGAGGCCGTTTAGGGATTTAGAATAAGTTTCCCACATTGACAAGATAGTGTGAAAAATGCAACGGACTTCTAATAGCTGTGGGACTAGGAACAGAGAGGACTTCATTTAAATATTTATTTAAGTATGTTTTTATTGATTTTTTTAGAGAGAGAGGGAGAGAGAGATAGAAACATCGATGTGAAAGAGAAACATCGGTTGGCTGCCTCCTGCGTGCCCCCCACGGGGGATCAAGCCTGCAACCCGGGCATGTGCCCTGACCAGGAGACCAACCAGCGCCCTCTTGGTCTATGGGTCATTGCTCAAACACTGAACCACACCAGCGGAGCTAAACAGGCAAAATTTAGAGGTAACTAAAAGTGAACATCTTAGCCATTGCAGTTTATCCCATCAGCAAACAAATGCTAAACTTTCTAACGTTACAGAATCATCTCACATCCAGCCCCTTAGAAGCAGACATCACGCAGTAAAGAAGGACATTAATGCATTAATACATTCCGGGGGGAAGAAGGGACAAGTTAAGCGTGCAGTCTTATTTATATAACAACTCACAGGCTTTACGGTCGGAGCGAAGCTCATTGCTGTCATACCCCAGCTTTCACTCAAATAGTAGGAGCTATGTATGGGGGGCTCTTACAATGCGGTTCATTTATGGACGGCCATGGGGGGGTATTCCCGGAGAAGATGGCCACCTCGCCAGCGCCAGCAGATAGTGACTTAGCAGAAGAGGGTGTGCGACTGCTTCCGAGCCATGACCACATGTCCCTCTGCAATGCATTATAACAGGTTTCGAGCCACCATTTACCCCTGCCCAGAGGCTGCGGCGGAGCGCAGAGAGATGCTGGCTGGCGTCAACACGAGGCTGGAAGACCTCGCCACCGTGAGTGAGGGGTGCAGGCGCGTGATGCGCAGGGCGCCGCGGCCGGGCTCCCTCTGCTACTGCGGGACAAGTCCTCTCCTCTGGGGCCCTGCTGGGGAGCCGCTGGGATGCTTGCTGTGTCCTTGCAGCTCCCGGTGCTGAGATTGCATAACTGTTCCACTGGCTGGAGGTGATGATTCTTCATGTCAGGGATCCTTTGCTTGGCGTTAGAACTGACCACAGCCCGAGGCCACCGTGGTCTGATGAAAGGCACCCGTTTACCACCAGCCTGGCCTCGTCTCTCATACAACTAACTAGCCAATTAAGTTGAACAACAGTCTGAATCGTCCAGCTGACAGTCAGTCTGGCTTCGCCGTGTGAACACACCCCACATTCCTGTCCTCTTGTGAAGTGTGTCGTCACTCGGGGCAGCACTCAGCACTCCCGTGACTAGAACACTTTCTTCAGTGAGCTTTGACACTAATCACGAAGAGCAGCTGACCCCACCCTGCTGTACATTCTGCGTCCGCGGTGCACCGGACTTCTGTGGGGTGGGGAGGTCATCTGTCCACCCCACAGGCCCAGTGTGATAGCCGTCACCACCGGTGGCCCTTGAGCTCCTGGAACACGGTTAGTTCAACAGGAAACCGAGTTTCTATTCATGCTAATTAACTGAATTCTTGTCGCTCCATGTGGCCGATGCATTGGTCAGCACAGTTCCAGACCCTCAGTGCCGTCTTCAGAACTTAGGTGTGTGTGTTTCAGGCTCATAGGCTAGCAGATGCCTTCACCTCCCAGAAATTTGTGTTTGATTCCTTTTTTTCATTCCTCACTGGAGGATATTTTTCTATTTATCATCAGATAGAGTAGGAGGGAGGGGGAGAGAGAGAGACAGAGAGAAACATCTATGTGATAGAGCCACATAGACTGGTTGCCTAGCACACGACATGACCCGGGCTGGGGACGAACCACAACCGAAGTATGTGCCCTTGGCCGGAATCGAACTCGTGACTCATTGGTCTGAGGGCTGACGCTCTAACCGCTGAGCCAAACCAGCCAGGGCTGTGTTTGATTTCCTTAATCCTCTTTATTGCCCTTTGTCACTTGTCAGGAGGTTGTATTCCCCTGGAGGCCCTTTCGCACAAATACTTCACGAGGAGAATGGAAAAGAAGCTGCACCAAACCTATGTGGTGTTTAGTTTGACTTGAGTAGCCACGTGTAAAGTGACTGAAAAGGCTCACTCTGTTATTTCACCAGAACAAAAACCAACTCCATTAAATAAATTCTCTGTGGGCCAAATCCTCCACTCATGACTGCATTCATTCACTCACTTGCCATGTATTGAAGAGATTATGTATGTAAAGCATTTTAACAAGTGGGTTAGTTCCCTTGGGCTGCAATAACCAATCACCACAAATGAGGCGGCTGAAAGCAACAGAAATTTGCCTTGGCCGCTGTGGTTCCGTTGGTTGGGCATCGTTCTGTGCACCAAAAGATTCCCGGTTCGATTCCCGGTCAGGGCACATGGCCAGCTTTTGGACTCCCTTGTCTAGTAGGGGGCGTGCAGGAGGCAGCCGATCAATGCTTCTCTCTCATCGATGTTTCCCCTCTCCCTTCTTCTCTCTAAAAACCAACTGAAAAACATTCCAAATGAAAACCCCTAGAAGCATATTCTCACAGTTCTGGGGCCCGAAGTCTGAAATCAAGGCGACAGCAGAGGCATGCTTCCTCGCCTGCTAGGGTCAGGATCTCTGGGTTCCCCCCAAATGCTGAAGGTGATGGTATTAGGAGCCTTCGGGAGGTGATTAGATCATGGGAACAGAGCCCTCCTGACTGGGTTTAGCGCCCTGATAAAAGGAACCCCAGAGAGCTTGCTTGCCCGTTCCACCATGCGAGGACAGACTTCGAGGTCTGCTACCCAGAAGAGGGCCCTGGTCTCCGCCAGCCTCCAGAGCTGTGAGAATACAGGCCGCCAGCCGATGGTACTGCATTGTGGAGGCCTGGATGGACGAGGCCATCTTCCTACCCTGTCGCAGTCCGTGGCCTTCCGTGCTTTGTAGATGTGACCCTCTAGTCTCTGCCTCCGTCACACAGGTGTTCTTCCCTGTGGGCCCCAATGTCCAAATGTCTTATAAGGACCCTAGTCATATTGGACGGGGCCCATGCTACTCCAGTAGAACCTCGTCTGAACTTGATTACGTCTGCAAAGACCCTGTTTCCAGATAAGACTGCCTTCACAGTTACCAGGGGGTAGGACTGAAACATATTTTGGGGGGGAGACAGGATTCAACCCATAACAATAGTGGGGGAAGGAATTTAGAAGAAAAGGCAGAGTTTTGCCTGAGGGTTTCCACCCGCAGTGGGGGAGGTCCATTGCTCATGGGAATCCCGGGCGGCGCCAGCAGAGGGCGCCAGAGCGAAGCAGCCACTGCGGCTGAGCCCCCACTCGTGCCACCGTGGGAGACGTTTCACGAGTGTCCCTTGTTTCGCCCAGGTGATAACCCAGACGGAGGCTCACCGTCAGAGCCTCCTGCAGGAAGCAGCCGCCAGCCTGCACTCCTGGGTCGTCAGGGTGCGCAAGATGAAGGCCATTTATCACACCCTGAACATGTGCAACATCGACGTCACCCAGCAGTGCGTCATCGCTGAGATCTGGTTCCCGGTGGCCGACGCCGGGCGCATCAAGAAGGCGCTGGAGCAGGGCATGGTGAGTGGCCGGCGGAGCAGGGAAGGAGCAGGGGGACCCAGCCTCGGCAGCCCCTCCCCGCCCCGGCGGGGCCCTGAGAGCAACGTCACATGAACTTCACAGGTCGCTTGCTTAGGATTGTCCCCTTCGTCTTTGTGTCTTCAGTTTGTGTCGGTGGCAGGGCACAGGTGAGACTTCTTTTCTTCCCAGCATTGGACAGGCCATCACCACGTCCTCCACCTTCAGTATTATGTGCGGAGGTACCTGTCACCCTGCGGGTTATGAATAGATGCCACGGTTCGGTGTGACTGCGGGTCCCATCCTCTACCTGGCCAGAGAAGTGGCCAGGCGCCGGTGACAGCAGGCCCTGGAGTAGATGGCTCTCCAGCGCCCATCACCTGTCCCCAATGCTCACTGTGCACCAGGAATGGATCTGGGGCAGTGCTGGCCAAGGCCCTGCCCCGTAGACTTTCTAGAAAGGAGACGGTAGGCACGTCCCTCACCAGTGTGACTTCAGGCTGCGACACATGGTGGGTTGGAAGTGAAGCAGGGAGATGGGGAGTCACCCTTTTGGTGAAGAAGGGGTCCTTTGCCCTAATAGTACAAGGTGGCCCCAACGCGACGCCTGGCACCGGACAGACGAGATGGGCAGCGGTCCGGCAGTCAGTGTGCTCGCAGCCCGGGGGAGGGCCCCGCGTGCCACCCGGAGCCCGTGAGGCTGCACCGGGACCTGCCCTTGGAAGCAGAGTGAGCCAGCAGGAGACACGGAGGCAGGCTCTGTAGTGACAGGAGGGTGGGGTGACCCTGGTTTCCACGGGAAGGTGTGATTAGCTCGTTCAAACCACCTTTGGGTTGAAGACGAGGCAGCCGGGCTGGCGGGCAGGAGGGTGGGTGAGCTGGGCGGGCAGCCTTGCCTGCCAACGGGTGGCACATCGGGTGAGGCCCGAGGAGCTCATGCCTGGCCTTTGGGCCGGGGAGACAGCTTGAACTTCAGGTGTCACAGTGCTGTCACAGGGCTGTGCTGGAGCAGGGCCCCTGAACGGTGGCACTGGAGCAGAATTCCCTGTGTCATGGGGAGGCTGGAGCGGGTGGGAGAAAGAGCTTTCGGGACGAAGGGTCTCACGGTGAAGGCCTTGAGGTGCGAAGGGACTAAGAGACAGGAGCTGAGTTTATTCATTTATACAGCCAAGGAGACGCAGGCAGACAGAGTGGAAGTACCTTGGCTCTGGTCCTGTAGCCGGGAGGCAGGATTTGAATGTCCTCACGTGATGCTCCAGTAACTCTCCAATTGGGGCACGAACAGAGAGCGTGTCTCCCAGACTGGACGATCGGGGGCTTCCTGGAGGGAGTGATGCGTGAGCTGAGCCGCGGAAGGGCGGGCGGAGGAGCGGCGGGGAGGGCTGGGCAGCGAGGCCCACCTGCGGCCGGTGGCTGGGGAGAGGGCACAGTGGTCTTAGGAAAGGTAATCGTCAGCGAGAGTAGTGAAGGTCAGGGAGCGCTGCAGGGCAGATCTGAAGGACGACATGGCGGTGAGAGGGAGCTGATTTTATTCCCATGCTGGGTGACAGGTCCAGTCTGCGTTGTATTTATTTATTTTAATTTTTTTTCCTTTATTGATTTTAGAGAGAGAAGAAGGGAGAGGGGGAGAGAGAGAAACATCGATGAGAGAGAACATGGATTGGCCGCCTCCTGCACGCCCCCCACTGGGGATCAGGCCCACAACCTGGGCATGTGCCCTGACCGGGAATCGAACAGGGACCTCTTGCACATGGGTCAACACTCAACCACTGAGCCACACCGGCCGGGCTCCAGTCTGCATTTTAGAAACACTTAGCTGCAGCGTGGAGATCACTGGGCTGTCAGAGAGGAACCGTCCTAATGCAAGGATTTCACTGAAAGGTGTTGCTCTGTAATCACCAAGACTTCTACAAGGCTGCTTAGGGCTATTTCCACAGTCCCTTCAGCCTCTGAAGTAATCAGAGCATTTCCCCAGAGAGGACTAGAACCCTGGGCAAGGAGGAGATGAGGAGGCCAGCGTCCGCATGGCTATTATCATCACAATAAGCAAACACACTTAGGCTACACAGTTTTGCATCTGCTGCTGGGGGCATGTCAGAGGACAAGGAGGAAGCCACAGTCCTTGACCTCAAGGAGGTCGTAACCGTGCACATGAAAAAACTTCCCGGCTGGTGTGGCTCAGTGGACCGAGAGGTCCTGGTTCGATGCATGTGCCTGGGTTGCGGGCTCCATCCCCAGAAGGGGGCGTGCAGGAGGTAACCGATTGATGTTTCTCTCTCACATCAATGTTTCTCTCTCTCCTTTCCTCTCTCTCTAAAAAATCAATGAAAAGATATTTTTTTAAAAAGGAAAAGATATAGCCCTGGCCAGTTTGGCTTAGCGGTTAGAGCTTCAGTCCACGGACCAAAGAGACCCGGGTTCAGTTCCCACTAAGGGCACGTACCTCGGTTGCAGTTTGTCCCCGGCCTCAGTTGGGGTTGTGTGGGTGGCAGCCAGTCGATGTGTCTCTCTCACATCGATGTTTCTCTCTCTCTCTCCCTCCCTTCCTCTCTCCCTCCCGCTCTAGCTGAAGATAAATGCAAAAATGTCCTCGGATGAGGATAAAAAAAAAAAAGATATATAATCATAGCAGGTAGATAATCATAGCCTAAGGAACTCCTCTACTGTGTATAAGTTTGGGGAAGTTACTTAACCTCTCGATACCTTCGTTTGCTCGTCTCTGAGGTGGGGCTTGTGATGCCCGCCCCACGGCGTCGCGGGGACTGGTGCACGCTCATTGAGCTGTTGTCGAGACCTGCGCGGTGCGCAGGAGGGCAGTGCTGCTGGAGTCTGCAGCGACCAGGGCTTCCTGCTGGGTGACCTTGGAGAGTGGTTCCTACTTGGGCCGGTGACCAGGGAGGTGGCGAGTGCGGAGCTGGCTGACTTCCAGGGGAAAGCAGTGCGGGCGAAGGTGTGAACGGGGGATGAAGTTAGTGTTGTCACCACGTCTTGTTTACCAGGCTGAAGAGTTCTGCTTTCATTCTTCAGGTGATGGGAAGCCTTTGAGGATTTTTGAGTAGGAGGGTAACATGGCTCAAGTGGTCCTTTTGTTTGTTTTGTTTTGTTAAAAGAAGGAGTGCGGAGTCTGGAGTGTAAGATAAACAGAAGGGAAGGGATGGAGGAAGCTGGGGGCTGGCTCGGCTGGGGGCTGCGGGAACGCAGAGGAGGATCACAAAGGGACAGTGAGCAGGAGTTGGAGACGGTCGACCGGCGCAGGGGAAGGAAGACGGCGGATTCCGGTCTCGGGGATGCGGGGGCTGCCGAAGGAGCAGACTGGCTCTGGGCAAGCTGACGCGTCCGGGCTCCTGGACTATGTGGTGTTGCTGAGACACGGCAGTTTGAAAGCCGAGGCAGGCAGGGACAAGTGAATAAAATTCGGGAGAGGGTCAGGGCCATTTAGAAGATTGAAACAAAATGTGGAAAGTGGATGAGCTCTTGAGTGAGAGGAGAGAAAGGAAGACCAGCCCCAGAACTGAGGTGTAAATAAAGACGCAGCCCAGGAGCAGGAGCAGGGAAATCGCAGGGAAGGGGGGGAACGCCACTCTCTTGACGACCCTCCCGGACGGTAAGTTCAGTGAGTATCAGGACGGCATTAGCTGTGTGGAAGAGACCGTGAGTCGGGCCAGGGAATGATCCCACATTCACGCAGGAGGTGATGGCAGGAGCGGGCCTGTGATCCGTGCGCGGACACCCAGCCCGAGCCCCCTCTCCTTACATGTTCATCACTTGTTCTTTCTTGCAGGAACTGAGTGGCTCCTCCATGGCCCCCATCTTGACAGCGGTGCAGTCTAAAACGGCTCCTCCCACGTTTAACAGGACCAATAAATTCACAGCTGGCTTCCAGAACATTGTAGACGCATATGGCGTTGGCAATTACCGGGAGCTAAACCCAGGTAACGGGGTGCTATGCTGCACGCCTGAGCAGCTTGAAAGCGAAAATTGGGTAAGATGTACCCCCGCGGTGGCAGCCTAGGAGGTGAATTGCTTGCAACTGTGACTTCCCTAAAATCTTACTTGGTTTCTGAATGCTCTGCATTGTCTTCTGTAAAGGTGGTGGGTGAAGATTTGTACCCGATCAAGATTTCACCTGCTCTCCCTTAACCTGTAGCCGTAACAGGCAGCCAAATTCGGTTCTTGTTTGCTTAACGATTCGGTGAGGGTCCTCTTTAGGCATCTTCACAGACTCACAGTTGTGTGGGAGAGGTGGGAACACATAGAACTTGGAGTCAGAAGACTGGATTCTTAGTGACATAAACTGTGGTGTTGGTGGCCTGGTTTGTACAGTAAAGGGGTAGACCAGATGCCCTTTAGCCAAGTGGTTTATGATACTGTTCTTGTCCAGCCTGAGTCCCAGTCTAATCTGTGACCCAGAATACAGGGCCCATTGGCTGAAGGTCCTGTGAGTGACTGCGGGAAGTATGTGGCACATGGGAATGCTGGAGAAACAGACAAAGGATGGTAGTGGTGAGGCTAGAAAGCACTTAGAAAATAGATTTTAAATCTCATTAAACTCCATGACCTTGGGCACGTCATTAACTGCTCCCACACTCAGCTCATCTGTGAAGTGGGGAACAATAACGTTTACTCGTTGAGCCAATAACGTTTACTGGGAGCCAAGCAAGTGTCAGGGGTGCAGATGTCGAGAGGTGACAGAATCAGAAAGACACGAGGGAGCCAGCGTAGCGCATGGAGCGTGATGGAGAAATCTCGAGTGGGATCATTGGCAAGACTCGAGCTACTGTGGGTGTCGCCTCTGCAGCTCCCTACACCATCATCACGTTCCCCTTCCTGTTCGCCGTGATGTTTGGAGACTGTGGTCACGGGACTGTGATGCTCCTGGCTGCCCTTTGGATGGTCCTGAACGAGAGACGCTTACTTGCCCAGAAGACGGACAATGAGGTGCGTGCCCAACAAATGTCTTTCTTCATGTACTTGAGGTTATGAGTAGAATATTTAAAAAATTTTTTTCTTTATTGATTTTTTTTTAGAGAGAGAGGAAGGGAGAAGGAGAGAGAGAGAAACATTGATGAGAGAGAACATTGATTGGCCACCTCCTGCATGCCCCCCCACTGGGGATCGGACCCACAACCTGGGCATGTGCCCTGACCGGGAATTGAACCGGTGACCTCTTGGTGCATGGGTCGATGCTCAGCCACTGAGCCATACTGGCTGGGCAATAAATAGAATATTTTAAAAGTGTGTGTTGTTTTGACATAGGAATAACATGTTTTTATGAAAAGTAACAAAAATGGAACGTAAAAAAGGGCCAAAATTCAACATAAAAAATCCTGGCTAGAGGTAAATGCTTCGTTTTGTTTTGTTATTTTAATTTTTTCTTTTCTTTAATCCTCACCCAAGGATATTTTTCTATTTATCTTCAAATAGAATGGGAGGGAGGGAATGGGGGGGGGGAGAGAGAGAGAAACATCGATGTGAGAGAGACACATTGACTGGCTGCCTCCCACACAACCCCAACCAGGGCTGGGGATGAACTGCAACCAAGGTACGTGCCCTTGACCGGAATTAAACAGGAGACTTCCTGGCCTGTGGGCCAATGCTGTAAACGCTGAGCCAAACTGGCCAGAGCTGTTTTTAATTTTTTTATTAATTAATTTTTTTTTACAGGTGTTTCTCCTTTTTTCCCCATTGACACCCTCCCAGAGGTAAACCCTTTGGATGGTGCAGTTCTTAGCATGTTCATTTTCCTGTACGTTGCTTGGCGAGGCGTTGATTGTTCCTTTTTTCTTTTTTTCCCAACATTGATTATTTTTCTTTGATTATAAAAGCAATATATGTTCATTGTAAAAATTGGGAAAATATAGCCATCTACCTAGGAAAAAAATCACAATGGATGATCTTGTATTATCTTTCCACTTTCTCTTCTGGGCTTATACAAAAAGATATAATTTGTAAAAACTGGGATCAGATAGCACATATTCATTTGTAGCCTCCTTTTCTTCACTTAAAATGGCACAAACGGTTTTCCACGGTGAAGCTCTTTGCCCACAAGCCCACGATCAGAGTTCTTGCGAAAGCCTGAGGCACCCCGAACCCCGCGTCTTCACTCTGACACCTGGCGTTTGCACACCTCCCACCAAGGTCCCCTGAGTGATGGGAAGGTGGGGACAGCTCAGGAGTTTGCACTGTTTCAGAGGTCCTGAGCTAGCGGTCACTTTCTGGCCACTGTTAATTGCATTTTACAAACTGGAAACACGCCTTCAGCTATAATCTGAATTTTAACGCCATCTGCCATCTTTTTTTACAGGTTGGCTTAACTAGAGCTAGTTCAGCGATGTCCTAGTGAGTTAATCATAAGCAAGATTAGTGAAGCATCAGCCTCTGACCCATATAGTTTTTCCTGACAAGCATTTTTAAATGTATTATAGAGAGAGGAAGGGGGAGGGGGAGGGAGAGAGCGAGCACGAGGAACATTGATTTGTTGTTCCACTTGCTTATGCATTTATTGGTTGACTCTCGTACGTGCCCTGAGTGGGGATGGAACCTGCGACCTTGGCACTTTGGGACGATGCTCCCACCAACTGAGCTACCTGACTAGGGCTCATGACAAGCATTATATTTACTTACTTACTTATTTTGGTGCTGAAGCCCGGGAATGAAATGACAAGCATTTTAATAGGTATCGTTTCCTGTGATCAATATTTGAAGTCTCCAAGTCTCGCTCAGAAGTTCTGAGGATAAGCGTCGCACATCACCCAGTACTGGGAGAGAGCCCTTTCTCTTCTTAGTGGGTGTGCTTAGAAACTCAACTTTATAATGGAGCCCCCAAAAGGAGTATATAGATTTGACTTGCCGTGAAATTTAGCAGCCGTGTGAGGCCAGCTCAGTGCTCACCTCCTGGAAGGACTTGAGACCACAGCCACCCACCTTCCAGTCCCCTTTTCCATGGGTGAAGCCCCAGTTCCTGCTTTCGTGACCTTTTCTGAGCGGGGCTGAGTTCAACAACAGGAGGCTTCTCTGTTTCGTTCCCACAGTAGCAGCCTCCATTCTAGGGCTTTGCCGAGTCCCCTGCAGAAGCTTGGGAGAATCGCGATGTGTGTGCTGTTGGTCTTTCGGTCACTGCTATCTGCCCCATCACGTGGCCCCTCTGCCCAGGCCGGCGCGCCTTGCTGTGGGGACAGCCTGTCCCGGGCCCGGCGCAGGGCTCACTGACAGTCGCCCTCTGTGTCCCCCGAGGCCAGATCTGGAACACCTTCTTCCACGGGCGCTATCTCATCCTCCTCATGGGCATCTTCTCCATCTACACCGGCTTCATTTACAACGACTGCTTCTCCAAGGCTTTCAACATCTTCGGCTCTTCCTGGAGCGTCCAGCCCATGTTCAGAAACGGCACGTGGAAGTAAGTGGACACGCAGAGATGGGTCATTCCCTGGCCATCCAGGTGGCCTCGGCGACAGTTTTCATGGCTGGGTGAGTCTATGCCGGCCTGGCCCAGAGGTGCACCTGCAACTTCGACAAATAATTCTGTTTAGAAGTTGAGAAGCAGGTCAGTTTGACGAAGGGCCGTGAAGGGTAGGGGGCTGCAAAGGGAACAAATGGGAACCACAATGACCCCGTGATCTTTGGGGCCCCTTAGCTGCCTGCGTTACGAACGTGAGATAATCCGCAGGGGGGCTTCGGGGCTGACTGGGATGGCCCAAAAGTCACAGGTGACCTCTCCCCACGCCTGTCTGCCCAGCTTCTTCAGCTTGAAGTTTCTCTGTCTTGTTCTGGAACTTCCAGTGGGAAGTGGGACAGGAGAGGACCAGAAGGAGTAGAGACAGACACGTCAACATTTTTGCAAACTCGCGTCCCATCTTTGCTCTCCCGAGCAGGGTAGGACTCTAAAATTTCTATTTACGGTCCTTCAAGGGTTTTACCTGCTCCCCGGAATCTCTTCTAACACCATCACTGGGTGGAGAGAATAGATAACTAGTCTCGTCCACGGATTTATCAGTGGAAAAAGATGCAACCCAGGGTTCTTGCCGACTCGGAGCGTCCCCAAGTGCATTTGAAGGGCTTGACGCTGATCGAGGCTCAGGGGGCTCAGAGGGGGGTCCCAGTGGGGGCGGGTCACGGAGCTTCAGTGCATTTTTTTTCCGTTTCTCTGCTGGCTCCAAGTCCCCTGTAGTGGAGGACAGAAGTATTAAACGATAAGTAAATCAATAAAATGAAGAGTGGCACTTTTTTCAGAATTACAGATGGTGGATCTGCGGTTTTTGCTTTGCAGTTAGCACCCTGAAGAGATACCTAGAGGAACAAGACTGTTAAAAGTTTAAAGACACATCACTTAGTCCTGCTCTTCAGATGTAAACTTACAAGCACAGTGACGGGCTCTGACATGTGTTGAATCGCATCATTTCACCTAGCTACCACCACAACGTTTTATTTACCCTGCAGTGTCATTGGGAAAGGACCAAGTCAACTGGTTTGTTGTCACTTTGCAAGTGTGGGTCACAGGGCTGTTCTTTTAGGCATGTGCAAATGACCTCTGCCCCAATTCAAGGCTCTTCAAGGCCAAGCCCAGTCTGAGGGATGCTCAGCCACAAGCCCGGGGTTTGAGGCATAAAGCAGAACCTCGTTAGCAGTGAGGCAAATGGAAATTACAGGCACCCATCAAGTGGCAAAGGACACAGCAGGCTGATTCTGGTCACTAGCCACAAGCCAGGTCTTGGGTCCCTTTTCCCTGACAGTTGACTAGGGACATTGTCACAATGTCCTCCAGCCAAAGAGCACCAGACACATACCTCTTGTCACCCAAAATTTGGGTTATTGGCTCAGTGAGAGCGATGGCACAGCACTGGAGACCATGGGCATCTCGGAAGAGGGTGTCAGAAAGGACTGACTTGGAGGATTTGGCCTCTGGGGGGTAAAGGTTATCTCTGATCATTCTTGTGGTTTGGACCATGTCCTTCTGTTGATATGTGCATATTTTTATATCAGATATGGTTGTGGAACGGTCTTGCTTTTGTCTTGATCCATTCCAGTCACAGGGTGGCCTTGTCTGATGTCAGTGTTCTGAGAAGTTGTTTATACTCAACAGCAGGCTTAGTTGTGGGTGCCTGGCCCGTTCCCTCTCGTCAGGGGTGGCTTTCTGGTTTGTGGACACACAAACATGTCTCTGCTAATGAAATCCAACTGTTTCCCCTGGGGCATGTTGTTAGGACAGGGGTCTGTGTCTGAGATGGCCAGTCAGGGCCCGCTCTGTTCTCTGTGCATTGAGGGCCTGGGGGGCATGATCGGACTTCCTAAGTCTCCTCTGTTACCAAATACCCGCCAGCACCTCAGCTGCAGGAGGGAGGGAGTGTATTTGCAGACAGCCTGTCAAAGATGCCAGCAGTCTGCCCCTCATCATTTTAAATGCTCATTTTGGGGGCCGTCTGCACATGTGTGCTTCTGAGTAAGGATGGAACACATCTAAAGACATCCATGGACCCCAGCTGTTGAGGGCTAAGTTTCACAGAGATCAGCCAGCTCACTCCTCCAGGATCAGCCCCTCTGCGTCCAGGAGAGATTCCCCAGGCTTGTCCCTGGGCCGGGTCTGTTTCCTGTAGGCTCTGCGCCCCTGCCCCTATCTTTGTTCTGATGTAGTATAACTGTGTCTTTACAAAATATTCCCCATCAGGCCGAGAGCGCTTTGGAAACCGAGACTGTGAACTCCTTGGGGGTTAGCGGGTCATTTCTGTCGCCTCGGCACCCAGGATGGCACTTGGCACACGGTGGATATTCAGCACCCGGTCATGGACGAACCGAATGAGCCAACTGGATGAGTTGCCGAAACAGTGAGGCTTTGATTGGCAGGTCCCGCCTCTGGTTGCTCACTGGCGTTGTCTTTGTTTTTTCTTTCTCCCTCTGTAGTATGGAAATGATGGAAACGAACCCACTTTTACAGCTGAACCCCGCCGTTCCAGGAGTGTACTCTGGGAACCCATACCCCTTTGGGATTGATCCGGTAACGATGTCCTTTTGGGTTAAATAGTTGCTAGTTAAATGTCTTGCTGAGGAGACCTCTGAGTGGGGGAGGAAGAAAGTGCCCAAACCTGTCGAATCAACCAACTGTTGAGATGGAATTACCTGGATGGGAGGTTTCTCTGACACACTGAGTTCCAGTAAGTGTCCCACCTGTGTGCTTGACCCAGCCTCTGGCCCCTTTCCAAACAAGTCCCCAAGCATCGGCCTCTTTCTCCATCACTTATACCGGGTGCTTAATGCCTGCATCTTTAAAAGGCCCTTGGTTGGTCCGGCTGGTGTGGCTCAGTGGTTGAGCATCGACCCAGGCACCAAGAGGTCACTGGTTTGATTCCTGGTCAGGGCACATGCCCAAGTTGTGGACCCAATCCCCAGTGAGGGGCATGCAGGAGGCGGCCAATCAATGTTCTCTCTCATCAATGTTTCTCTCTCTCTCTCTCCCCCTCTTACTTCTGCTCTCTCTAAAATAAATAAAATAAATAAATAAATAAATAAAAGGCCCTTGGTTGACTGGAAAGTATGCATATTAGATCACCAGCATAACATCTTAATCAAGCTTTGGCATTTGGAGTGGGGTAACATCTCTTTAACATCTAGAAAAATATGGATTTGTCTTTATTTTACTGTCTAGAATTGATACAAGTGAGAAAAAAAAAAGGTCAACTTTTAGTTGTGTGTTATATCTATTTCTGCGGAATCTGAGCCAAGCAGAACAAGGTGCTCCCTCGCAGCCTTTAGGTCTGAAGGGGTGGCCAGGAGACAGGCCCCGTGGTGGCCCCGTGCATGTCGCCAGCAGGTGGCAGCCGCGCGCTCCCTGCGAGCTGGGGCGTCTAGATGGAGCTCTGCAGACACCGTTTCTTCTGGGCTCTTTTGGTGGGAGAAGCTGAAACCTCCGTTTTAGTTGCTGACAGTTGAGAGTAAACAGTACTGGCCCTGCCATAGGTTTCCGGGTCTCTCCTGCCTGGAGGGTCATCTCCTCCTCTGTGTTCCTGCGTCCTCTCGTGGCCTCCCCTCCCTGATAAAGGCAGAAGCCTTACCCGGGATTTTACACTCGCTGCCCAGAGGCACTTGCCTTCCAAGTTTTATCAAAAGAGGTAAAGTCCTTGGAAGCTGTTTTATAAGCTGCAAAATGCTAAATACAAGTTGTTATTTTTGTAGCCTGGAGAGCGTTATCTGCGGTCCTAGGAATTTCATGATCAGGGAGCAGGTCGGGGAGGAGGACGGGGCGGTGATTCCAGGGTCTGGTCGGCCTCGGATTTGAGGGGTGGGGCTCCTGCCCCCTCTCTCTTCCCCTCGGAGCCCACATCTAACTCGGCCGCAGATCCCGTCTGCCCGGCTGTGCCCCTGGCACAGGGAGGGTTGTGCATTTCAGCTCTCAGCTGAGCGGCCCAGGGTTCCTAGTCTGTGGGCAACTTCGTCACTGCCCACCAGCGAGAGAGGAAGGGAACGCGTGAGGGTGAGCGAGAAGGTGGGATGTTGAAAATAATGTTTTTTCAGTTAACACTTAGGTTTTGAAAAGCCTAGTCTTTTTAATATAAAATAATAATACATGTGATTAAAAAATCCAGAGAGTACAGGATATTATAAAAACGAAAAGAAAGAGTTGTCATTCCCACCTCTTCGGGTCCTGCACGCCTGCTCCCCAGATAACCAGTTAAACGGGAGTCTCTGTGCCTGCAGCACTTACATGTATCAATGAAGGGCTTGATTTTTGCATAATGCAAATTTCTACAGCTGCATTTATTGACTGTGCAGCATCCTTTTTTGGTTAATCCTCTCCCAAGGATGTTTTTCCACTGATTTTTAGAGAGTGTGGGAGAGAGGGGGTGGAGGGAGAGAGAGAGAAACACCAATATGAGAGAGACATTAATTGGTTGCCTCCAGGGCCAGGAATCGAACCCGAGACCCTTTGGTGCTCCAGCTGACATTGTAACTACTGAGCCAAGGCACCGGCCAGGGCACCGTGTCTGCTTTCAACCAAGTCACGAAATATTTGGCTATCAGAGCCGAGAAGTCTTTCTGAAGGCATTTGTAAATATTTCGTAATAAATGAGCATCACAGTGGTTAAAAGCCCACACTTTGGAATCAGACAGCCTGTGTTTAAATCCTGGCCTGTTTATCTCCTTGCTGTTTGATTCTGAGCAAGTTATCACCTCTGTGTGTCTCTTTCTTCTTCTATAAAATAGATATAACAGCAGCCCTCACCCATAGACTGCTCAGAAGATTAAATGATTTTCACATGTAAAACACCTAGAAAGAGTCTGGTGCATAAATGGGGTGAATGCTCCATTTGCTATTATATTATTTCTTCCTAGGTGTTTAAGTAACTTAATCTCCCTTAAATTAAGATAAATTCCCTCATCGGTAAAATGGGAATTCTTATACACGTGTCCTCTCTTATTCATGGGGATGTGTTCCAAGACCCCTGGAGGAGGCCCGAAACTGGATAGTACCAGGTCTCGGTATACTATGCTTTTTCCCATACACACATACCTATGATAAAGTTTAATTGACAAATTAGGCAGTAAGAGATGAACAATAACTAAGAAAAAAATACAACAGTTATAACAATGTACTGTAATAAAAGTTATGCAAATAGGGTCTCTCTCTCTCAAAATATCTTATTGTATGGTACTCATTTAGCACTTTATAGATCCTCCTTGGCAGATCTGAACTGCCAGCCTCACTAGTCTTGCGCTTTGGGGCCGTTATTAAGTAAAATAAGGGTGACTTGAACACAAGCACTGTGATACTATGACAGTCCATCTGACAACCGAGACAGCTACTGAGTGACCAACAGGCCGGGAGTGTGTACAGTGTGGAGACGCTGGACAGAGGGATGGCTCATGATTCAGGCAGGACAGACGGGATTGTATGAAGTTTCATCACACTACTCAGGATGGTGCACAGTTTGTTTGTTTGTTTATTTTTTATCCGCACCCAAGGACATTTTTCCATTTTTTGTTCAGACAGAGTGGGAAGGAGATAGAAGAAGAGAGAGAGAGAGAGAGAGAGAGAGAGAGAGAGAGAGAAACATCCATGTGAAAGGGACACATCGAGTGGCTGCCACCCGCACGACCCAACCAGGGCCGGGGACAAACTGCAACCGAGGTACATGCCCTTAGCGGGAACCGAACCCAGGTCTCTCTGGACCACAGGCCAATGCTCTAACCGCTGAACCAAACTGGCCAGGACCACAATTTATTTATTTATTTATTTTTTATTGATCTAGAGATAGAGGAAGGGAGAGGTAGAGAGAGCGAGAAAAATCGATGAGAGAGAACATCGATTGGTCACCTCCTGTTTGCCCTCCACTGGGGATCGGGCCCACAACCTGGGCATATGCCTTGACTGGGAATTGAACCAGCGACCTCTTGGTGCATGGGTCAACACTCAACCACTGAGTAACACTGGCGGGGCAGAATGGTGCACAATTTAAAATTTAGGAATTATTTATTTCTGGAATTTTCTATTTAATATTTTTAGGCCACAGTTGACCATGGGCAACTAAGACCACAGAGAAGTGAAACCGTAGACAAGGGGGAACTACTGTCTCTATTTCATAGGGTTTTTGTTAGAATTAAATGGAATAAACCCATTTCAGGAGTTTAGGGTGTGCCAGGTACTTAACCATGAGCATTTTTAGTTGCTCAGACTTGGCTGGTTCTGTAGTAGGCTGGTTACCCTGCCCTCACCATGCTGGGTGGTCCTGTGAGCTTGGCCAACCAGGTGGGTGAAGAAAGAGCAGACTGTGGAGGGCAAGCCTGGTGCAGCTTAGAGGTCAAGGCGGATGTGGAGGGTAGAGGCGGCTCCTCTGGGGTGTGGGCACCATTACCAACGTCCCTTCTCTCACCTTCCCAGCAGCCTCCTTAGTGACCGTCCACCTGGCAGCCACTCAGGACATTGTAAAGAAAGAACCAGTGAGATGTGGCCCCTGCCCCATGTGTGCACAGGCAGAAGACAGGGGACTATGCACTGAGGCTGCCTCGGTGGATGCTGGCCTCGAGTCATTGTAGGAGGGAAGAGAAGAACTTTGGGGCTTTGTTACCTTAGAGATGCAAACCCTCAAGAAGTATCTACAGGCACTTTGCGATGTGCCTCAAGTTCGAGAGGACTCGAATAATTTGCATGTGGTTGGGGATTGGGAACCACAGGGGAGTTCAAGGTTTCTGTGGGGAAGGAGAACATTGGTGACTGGGGTCATTGACCAACATGAGGCCCTGACCAGCCCCCTGAGCACTGTGAGTGCTCTCTGTCCTTCTCCTGAGGGAAAGGCAGGTACACATGTCCCTCACTTTGCAAGTTTGACAAACAGGGACCTCAGAGAAAGTAGGGACCGTGTCTTACCCCTAGTGCTATTAAATATTGACTGCAGGAGTGTCTTCTTGAGAAGGGCCTGGAAGATGCTTTGTAATGTGAAGCGCTATAGAAATTCACAGTCAAACATGCTAGTTATTGTTGAGGGATTGGATAAATCCATGGGCCAGAGATCTACACCTTTATTCAGGGAACTGAGGCAGGTTTGGGATCTCCATAATTTTTCAGAGTTTCCTTTCATTTAGAACAAGGGAAAAATCAAGTAGGATTTTCCTCCCCAGTTCCCTTTCAGCCACTTGGTATTTACTGATGGCGCCCATGGCTCGGACACTTTTGTCATCAGAGTTGCGTTTATAAGGGGCTTGATCCTTTTCTGAACCTAAAATGCACAAGTCATACTGGACTGAAATTTGAGACTGTGGTTCCCAGCGCGACTTCTCAGGGGAAGTCCTGCTATTGTCACCAGCGCCAGTAGAACTTCTAGATTCTTGCCTTAAGCGTTTCTTCGCCTGTCCCTCCCAGATTTGGAACTTGGCTTCAAACAAGCTGACCTTCTTGAACTCCTATAAAATGAAGATGTCGGTGATCCTGGGAATTGTCCAGATGACGTTTGGCGTCATTCTCAGCCTCTTCAATCACATGTGAGTTTCATGATTCACTTGCTGCCCGTTGCTCTGCCCCCATGGTGATGAGCAGCGACGGAGCCACCGGTTGGGTCCCGGGTCCCTCTGCGCGGTTCCTCCTGACAGGAGCGCTTCCCCATGTCCCTTGGCGTGAGGCGGGACAAACCGGTGGCCAGACATGGCCCCTCTGTTCTCCTCAGCTGAATTTCTCACCTCAAAAATATTCGAGGGTTCAGAACGAGGCTGGCAAGCTCATAGTGCCTTGTGTCCCCCGACCTGAAAGGCTTGTTTGTGTGTATCAAGGCTCAGCTCCCACCAGTGGGGACAGTGCCCTCAGATTCTGAATTCCCTCTGGTGTGATTCCTTCCTACCGCTGCACCCCCTCCCTCTGTGGCTGTTACCCTGCCCATTCCTTTCCTTCTGGAAGGCTTCTCCAACGTACTTCCGCTGCAGGCGCAAATCTTCGAAGGCAGCTCCCACTGTGCCCGTCCAGAGGCGCCTGTGCGGGCCTGGCAGCTGTAGGAAGTGCCACCATGTAGTCTGGGAGTAAGTGAGGGCAGCATGGGGCCGCAGACATGATACAGGGTTTGGAACCAGAAGCGTAAGTACTGGTCCCAACTCCTCATAGCTGTGTGACCATGGACATGTCGCTTAACGTCTCTGAGATGGTTTTCTTTGATATAGTAGTCAGAAGGAGTTAGGGTATTGTGAGGTAACAAACAACCCCCAAATCTCAGTGGCTCAGCTCAAGACTGTGACACATGTCCACCAGGGGCTCTGTTCCTGTCATCCTCGCACAGGGACCTGCTCAGGGGCAGCTACCAGCTGGTACATGGCCAGGTGCCATGGCAGAAGGAGAGTGGTCAATTCTACGTGGTCTCGTGAGCTTCCACCCAAAGTGACACCTGCCACTTCCACGCCCATTTTATTGGCCAGTCACACTGTGACCCCTGATCTGAAGAGCCAAAGAAGTGCATACAATTCTACTGAAAACTTGGCGGGGTTCAGTGTGCACGCTAAGGGTGGCAGCCCGGGGACGCTGCCCATCGGGGGCACTGGGAGGACTCCGCGCGAGAGGACCACAGTGCCGTCGGGCTGGACCTTGGTTGGCACTGTGCGTCGGGCTGCCCTGCGTGCTCCGATAATCCCGTTGCTCCTTCCCAGGGGCTCTCCCTTTCTAGCTCTTGCAGTTAACAAAGGGCTCGGGCCCTTTCTGATGCTTTAACTCGGAGCTGTGCGACTCCGGTCGTAGAGCTGGAGTTGACACGCTTTCTCTGTAAAAGGCCAGGTAGCTCATCGTTCAGGCGTTTCAGGCCAGACCGTCTCTGGTCACGACGACGGAGTTCTGCTGTAGCGTGAAAGCTGCCATTGACAACATTAAGGGGATGTGTGTGGCTATGGTCCAGTAACACTTTGCTTATGCATGCTGAAATTTGAATTTCATCTCATTGTCCTGTGTCATAAAATGTTATTATTCTTTTGATTTCTCCCCCCAGCCATTTCATTTTATTTATATTTTTTCTTTATTGATTTTAGAGGGAGAGGGAGAGACAGATGGAAACATCGATGAGAAAGAACATTGATTGGCCGCCTCCTGCATGCCCCCCACTGGGGATCGGACCCATAACCCGGGCATATGCCCTGACCGGGAATCAAACTGGCAACCTCTTGGTGCACGGGTCGACGCTCAGCCCTGAGCCACACCAACTGGGCTGCTCCCCAGCCATTTTTAAAAAGGAAAACCATTTTTAACTTGCAGGCTATATAAAAACAGGTGAGGATGGGCTCAGTTTGGCCCAAGGGCCCTAGTTGCCCCCCTCTCTTAAGGCATTCTCAGAAGAAGAGCTTCCTAGGCCCCTTACATACCTGTGTGCTTTCAGTGTGTTGCTGTGAGCTGGGCCTGCATTTGAAGCTTTGGCCAAATCGCCAGCTGACTGTGGGCACGACCTTTGCTTCAGACCTGACCTTCTAGACCTTGCACCTCTCCGAACCTTCTGGGCAAAAGCACTTTCCTTTCTATCCCTTCGTGAGTGCTGCTTCCCAGAGGAGGGGGTGCAGTTAGCATTTTATGCTTTGGGGAGAATAATTAATTACTCATATTTTTTCTCAATGTTCTATTGTGTGTGTGTGTTTCCCAGATACTTCAGAAAAACGCTCAACATCCTTCTGCAATTCATTCCGGAGATGATTTTTATGCTGTGTCTGTTTGGGTACCTGGTTTTCATGATCATTTTCAAATGGTGCTACTTCGACGTCCACACGTCCCGGAAGGCCCCGAGCATCCTCATCCACTTCATCAACATGTTCATGTTCAACTACAAGGACTCCTCGAACGCACCCCTGTACCAGCATCAGGTATTGTGGGTTTTTCCTTCTTTTCTGCCTTGGTTATGACAGAGCTCTCTCATTCTCTTGGGTACTGCGGGGACTAATTATTTGCAAGCCTGAGCCGTCTTAGCACCCGACCTCGGGAGCTGGGCACCCAGAGTCGGGCTCTGCCCTACAGAAGGCTCTTTCTAGGCGAGTGGGCAGGGCAGAGAGCAGCGCTCCAGTGGCTCCTGTTACACGAGAGGGGCTGTTGTGGGGTTGAAATGGACTTGTCCAGCCCTGGCTGGGCAGCTCAGTTGCTTAGAGTGTTGTCCCGATATGCAAGGTTGTGGGTTCAATCTCCAGTCAGGGCACATACAAGAAACAACCAATGAATGCATAAATAAGTGGAACCACCAATCGAGGTTTCTCTCTCTCTCTCTCACCCCCCTCCCTCCACTCACCCCTATGCTCTGTCTCTAAAATCAATATTTTTAAAATCCTCACCCAAAGATATTTTTCTATTTATCTTCAAATAGAGTGGGAGGGAAGGAGGGAAAGGGGGGGGGAGAGAGAGACATCCATGTGAGGGGGACACATTGACTGGTTGCTTCCCACATGACCCCGACCAGGACCGGGATGAACGGCAACCAAGGTACATGCCCTTGAGTGGACTTGAACGCGCAACTCTGGTCCACAGGTCGACACTCTGTCCACTGAGCAAAATCGGCCAGAACCAATTTGTTAAAAATTAAAAAGAAAGGAATGTGTTGCCCAGCCGGTGTGGCTCAGTGGTTGAGCATCGACCCATGCACCAAGAGATCACCGGTTTGATTCCTGGTCAGGGCACATGCTCAGGTTGTGGGCCCAATCCCCAGTGGGGGGCATATAGGAGGTGGCCAGTCCATGTTCTCTCTCATCGATGTTTCTCTCTCTCTCTCCCTCTCCCTTCTACGCTCTCTAAAAAGAGAAAGAAAGAGAGAGAGAGAGAGAGAGAGAGGACGTGGACTTGTCTGGTCAGGGCACATGCCCAGGTTGTGGGCCCGATCCCCAGTGGGGGTCATGCAGGAGGCAGCCCATCGATGTTCTCTGTCATCAATGTCTCTCTCTCTCTCTCCCTACCTCTCCCTTCCACGCTCTCTAAAAAAGAGAGAGAAGGGGAGAGAGAGAGAGAGAGAGAGAGAGAGAGAGGATGTGGACTTGTCTATTGTCTGGAAAGAAAGGAAAACCAATTCTTCAAGTTATTGGCTTGGAACTATAAATGCTCCTCATCGCACCCTAAAATGTAATCATCTTTTATTCTGAAAGTAAGCTCCAGCTAAGGTGTACGAGAAGGACGTGGAGGTGTCCTCAGGAAGGGGAGCCCGCTGTCCACACGGACACTGGGCCTCCGGGAATCCGTGGACCAAGCCTGCTGTCCTGTGGGCTTCCACGGCCTCGGAGGTGCCCGCCCATCTTCTCCCTCTGCTCTCCTTTCGTGGACGGGACCGCCCAACAGTCGGACCCGATTGCCATTCTGACCCCTCCTGTTTCTTCCAGCCTCGTTCTCAAGTTGATATTTTATTCTTAAAACATAAACATTCCATGGCAGCTGGGTAGAAATACCCCTCTGTGAGTCATTCTTCGGTAACACAAATAGTTCTTCCCTCCGGCCTCTCCCAGTGACTACACTAGTGATGTTGCTGGAAGGTAGATTTTTCATTAGAGGAAGGCCCACTTATACAGGCTGGGATCCCTGCGGGCCAAGTTCTGGGACGGGGTTCCCAGTGCCAGGTGACCCTGTGGCGTCCCTGTGCCTGACAGCAGTCGCCGTCCTGCATGTCCCAGTGACAGTCAGGCTCCTGGTGCGGCCGTGCGCGCATCGTGAGTTTGACTCTGGTATTCTTCTGCCCTACAGCAGCAGCGAAGAAGGAGGAAAAAATGCCTGTGGTGGGCTTTTCTTTTTAACGGCAAAATAAGAAACGGTTTTAGGTGATAAGCAGAGAGGACATATACCTCGGAGAGCTCTCGTGTGGCGCCCTACCTCTTGTGACACATCAGGGGTAACCTTGAACCACCCCTAGTTTTCAGCATTAAATGAATGTATTTGGAAGGTTCATTTGCTCACTGCTCGAGTCTAAATGAAAGCCTCCTTGGATTTTCCAAATAAATCTTCTTTTCGGCAAAGGACTGAAATTCACCTGGCAGCTCTCGGGCTAACTGCCCTTGTCGTGCGGACTGGAGCTGTCCCTTTGACTGGGGCACGCGGCGGCGGCTTTTCCAGCCCGTTGCCACTGAAAGCACCTTTGGGAGCTGGCTGGCTTCCCCGAGCCCTAGCATGAAGATGAACTATCTCATCACAGTTCCAAGTTTCCATAACCGCACGGGGGGCCAAGCAGCCCAAAGAGACACTGTACGCTGACAAACACAGCCGCTTCCCGGCCGCGCCCTGGCCGTCTTCCCGCTCTGTTTGAATATCGAAGGGCAGCCGGTGATGTAAACCTCTAGTTGCTTGTGCACCAAGAGGGGAAAGTCTGGTTTAAAACGGACAACCGGCCCTGGCCGGTTTTGCTCAGCGGTTAGAGTGTCGGCCTGCGGTCCGGAGAGACCCGGGTTTGGTTCCCGCTAAGGGCACGTACCTCGGTTGCAGTTTGTCCCCGGCCCTGGTTGGTCGTGCGGGTGGCAGCCACTCGATGTGTCCCTTCACGTCGATGTTTCTCTCTCTCTCTCTCTCTCTCCCTCCCACTCTACCTGAACAAAAAATGGAAAAATGTCCTCGGGTGAGGATAAAATAAATAAATAAATAAAATAAAACGGACAACCGGCCCAGCTGGTGTGGCTCAGTGGTTGAGCATTGACGCATGGACCAGGAGGTCACTGGTTCGATCCCCGGTCAGGGCACATGCCCAGGTTGTGAGCCGATCCCCAGTGGGGGGCATGCAGGAGGCAACCAATCAATGTTCTCTCTCATCGATGTTTCTATCTTCCCCTCTTTAAAAAATTCAATAAAACATATTAAAATAAATAAATAAATAAAAATGAACTGGACAGTGGTTCCCTTCCTCCTTTGAGCATATGAGTGGTGGTGGGTGGAAGATGGAGCAGATAAGATCTCTCCACTGGGGGGGTATCTCCACTGTTATCAGGGTAGATCTCGATACCAGTGAGATAATCAGCCGACTCGCTCAGAGCTTGGCCGGGACAGCGAAAGAGATGTTTTCCTTTCACTCACTGGATCTGGCAACTGGGGGTGCGGTGGGGGTGGAGAAGGGGGCGTGAGGGCGGGAAAGGAAATCCGGAGCAGGGTGATGCAGTGGATGGCTCCTGGGCTTCAGCAGAGGGGCAAGACCATGAGGCCTCATTCCCACTGAGAGACAGTGAGATCCCCGAACTCGCTGGGAAGCCCAGTCCCTGGAGAGTTGGCAGGTCAGGTGGAGCTGTGGGGAACACCCCCAACCCCCCCATTTTGGTATGTTCAGTATAGCATATACTGATTTAGAAATTCAAGCTAGTTGGGAGGAGGGTTGGGAGACTGGGTGGAAAGGTGAAGGGTTTGGATTGAGAAGTACAGATTGTTAGTTACAGAGTAGTCACCAGGAGACGGAGTACAGCGTAGGGAATATAGTCAATAATATTGTAATAACTGTGTATGTGCCAACTGGGTGCTGGAAATGTCAGGGGAACACTTGGATTTTTTTTCGTTTGTTTGTGCATTTTTTGTTAATCTGTACCTGAGGGTGTTTTTCCATTGATTTTAGATAGAGTGGAAGGGAGGGAGGGAGGGGGAAAGAGAGAGAGAGAGAGAGAGATGAACATTGATCAGCCGCCTCCTGCACACCCCCTACTGGGAATCAAGCCCACAACCTGGCATGTGCCCTGATGGGGGATGGAACCAGCTACCTTCTGGTGCATGAGATGATGCTCAACCAACTGAGCCACCCTGTCTGGGGCAAAAAAAAATTTTTTTTGAAGACAGAAAAAGCAAGACTGCTGAGATAATTATTTCATATTGGAAATATAAAATTACTCTTTCAGGTAGTGTTTTCGACTGAAACTGACTCAAGTGACCAGGGAAGTCATGGGGCCAGACACCTGTTATCCTGGGCCAGGGCCTAGCTGTGCCCATAGAACAGAGTTAAAGGACAAGAGACAAATAAGTGGCCCTTGGGACGTGTCTCAGGAATACTTGTTCAGATGACTGGTTACATGTGGTAGTGGTGTATAAAGGGTACTTAGAAAGTACATCATAGAGAGAGTGAGTTTCCAGTGCCCACCAGTACTGGCCACTGGGGGCCACTGGACTGACAGTCCTCTGTCTGCAGTTGGAATATTCCAACGTGTGAAGGTGAATGAATTCACTGGAATGCTTTAGATTTCTCAAAATAAACCGCCACGGGAATGACCCATTTTTAGCACTTGTGTTGTATAAAGTCTGCTGTGTGGTCATCTTAAAATAAGATCTCACCATTGTGGTCTTGCAGCAAGAAGTCCAAAGTTTCTTTGTTGTCATGGCTTTGATTTCCATACCGTGGATGCTTCTGATCAAGCCGTTCATTCTTAGAGCCAATCATCGGAAATCCCAGGTGAGAGCCATTCATGTCCCTTTCCTGACCGTGGGTAGAATGTGGGTCCTTGGACAGAAGTCTGGGGCTGAGGGAGCTTGCGAGATGACCAGGGCCGAAGGGCAGTGGTGAGGCGGGCAACCGGCTCTCCCCAGATAGCTTCTCTTCTGTCGAGTTTGACTTCCGAGGGGCCTTCTTATTTCCAGAATAATGTTCTATTAAGGACAAGCAGGTTTAAGTTTTATGTCTTGCAAGCCTTGCTTGTGTGTGTGATTGTGGGATTGTTGTATAATACTCCCTTGCACGAATATACCACAACTTGGTTACCATTCAGAGACTGAGAGTTATTTGGCTTGTTTCCAGTTTCAGTAATTGCACATAGTGTTTCTGTAAAATCTCTGCGCATGTCCTTTGGCACATGTGTTTGTATTTATTTATTTATTTATTTATTTATTTATTTATTTATTTATCTTTATTGATATTAGACAGAGAGAGACAGGAAGGGAGAGGGAGAGAGAGAGAGAGATAGAAATATCGATGAGAAAGAACATCAATTGGCCGCCCCACTGGGGATCAGGCCCACAACCTGGGCATGTGCCCTGACAGGGAATCAAACCGGCAACCTCTTGGTGCATGGGTCAATGAGCCACACCAGCCAGGCGGCACATGTGTTTTTAGAAAGTTGCAAGTAGCCCTGGCCAGTTTGGCTCAGTGGTTAGAGCATCGGCCTGCAGTTCGGAGAGACCTGGGTTCAGTTCCCGCTAAGGGCACGTAGTTCGGTTGCAGTTTGTCCCCGGCCCTGGTAGGTCGTGCGGTGGCAGCCACTCGATGTGTCCCTTTCACATCGATGTTTCTCTCTCTCTCTCTCTTCCTCTCTCTCCCTCCCACTCTATCTGTACAAAAAATGGAAAAATGTCCTCGGGTGAGGATAAAAAAAAAGAAAGTTGCAAGTAAATTATTTTATTTCAGATGGCACCCAGCTCAAACATCACGAGCGGCTGAGCTAAGGGGACTGCAAAGTATCTTTTGTTTGTGGAGAACAGTCACTAAGATTCACAAAGTCCAGTGTCATGCTTCTGCCAAAGGATTCATTTTCATTTTAACCAATTCTAGCATGGGACCAGAAAAGGCTAGAGTTAGGGATGGAAGTGGAGAAACTATCTTTTATTGGTATTTTCCCCCTTAAGTTGATGGGGAGAGAAAATAGGATTTGAAGAAGACAAAGCGATGTTAACTTAGGTCGCATCCCTCACCATGGGGCCAGGGGAAGGGCTCACCCAGAGCCTCTTCTTGGTCCCAGCACCCTGGAAATCCTGTCCAGGTGGACGCAAGCCCACTTCTGGGCCCCACTAAGGGCAACCACTGCTGGATCCTGGCGTGAGGAGTGTGGGCAAGTGTGGGCAAGTGTGGACAAGTGTGGACATTGTGTGGGGAGTATCCACGCATGTGCACACAGGCCCTCCTGCTGTGGGGTGGACCAGAGATGGAAAGGAGAGGGTGCAGGGCCAGCTCTGCTGAGACTCTGAATTTGAACCTGGCCTTCAAGTTCTTACGAAGATTTGTTTATCAGGATAGGAGGCTAGAACATATTTCATTTAGGGGTTTGTTGGCTTTGTTAATAACTTTTAAATATATAAACGTATGGAATGTGGACTTCCATTGTGACTTTGCCCAGAGGCCTGCAAACATTAGGTGCAGACTAGCTGAAGAAAGAGAGGGAAAGCTAATTTGCATGCCTAATTTGCAATACGCCAGCCGTGAGATCATCCTAGGGATAACTTTCGACACGGGACATTAAGTTTCACAGTGACTTGAAAACATTTTCGACTGAAACGCGGGGATAAAACCAGACCAAACTGATTGGTGACTATACCTTGATTTTTTTTTTCTCCCCTATGGATTGTTTTCTTAGCTGTTTTTAAAAAGTGATGTTCTTACCGTGGCCGGTTTGGCTCAGCGGTTAGAGCATCAGCCTGTGGTTCAGAGAGACCCAGGTTCAGTTCCCACTAAGGGCACGTACCTCGGTTGCAGTTTGTCCCCGGCCCCTGTTGGAGTCGTGTGGGTGGCGACCAGTTGATGGGTCTCTCTCACATCGATGTTTCTCTCTTTCTCTCTTCCTCTCGCTCTATCTGAAGATGAATGCAAAAAGTGTCCTCAGCGAGGATAAAAAAAAAAAACAATTAAAAAGTGATGTTCTTATTTAGAAAAGTATATTTGTGTTGGAAAAGTCATTGTCTTACAAGTCTGTTGGGGCTGCCGTAATGAAGTACCACAGACCGAGTAGCTTATAAACAACCGAAATGTACTCTTCCAGTCCTGGAGGCTGGGAAGTCTAAGATCTGGGAAGGCTCCCGCATGTTCACCTTCTGGTTAGGGTCCCCTTCCTGGTTCCCAGATGACACCTCCTCACTGCGTCCTCACCTAGAGGAAGAGCTGAGGGAGCTCTCTGGGGTCTCTTTTATAAGGGCACTAATTCCATTCCCGAGGGCTCCACCCTCGTGACCTAATCACTCCCGAAGGCCTCACCTTCCAACACTATCATCTTTGGAGGTTAGGATTTCAACATACAGATTTTGGAGGGGACACAAGCATTCAGACCACAGCAGGTCATTAATGTCCTAATTTTGCCCATAGAAATCTGGATGTTTAGGTCACTCGGCAAAGTACGTCGAAGGGACAGCTGCTGATTTTATGACTGTGTATATATATTAAAATAGAAAGGCATGCTTGTGTGCACGTTGGTTTACTGTAAGGACTGTGACTCATCTGGCACCTTCTGGAGCACCATGGAGAAAAGCACGTCTCTGGACTCCCTGCCGGGGCGTGAATCCTGGCTCTGCTGCTAACAGGCCTTGCCAGCTGTGTGATCTTGGGCATGTTTCTTAACCTCTCTGTGCTGTAGTTTACCTCTGTAAAATGGGGTGATAACTGTGCTTATGTCAAAAGATTGTGACGAAGGCGAAAGGAGGTCACGTGGAGAGAGTTTAGAACAGTGGTTGGTACTTACTGAGAGCCTCGATTTTGTGTGGCATTGCGATTCTAATTCCAAGGATGAATCCAACACTTCGTTCCTTGCTTGCTGACAGCTGCAGGCATCCATGATCCAAGAACACGGCCCTGAAGACACTGAAGGTGACCACTCGAACCCTCCCAGGAGAGCAGGTGCCCACAGGGCCCAGGAGGACCACGAAGAAGAGGTATTTGGGGCTGGACACCCTATGAAGACTTCCCAGTTTGTGCAGATTATAGTCAAGTGTTTGGGTCGAGAGGACCCTGCGGGTGGTGGCCCTGCAGGGGCTGAGTCACAGGAAGCCGGGGAGGTCCTAGGGCAGGGGGTGCCTACAGGCTCAGAGAAACCAGTGACGGAGCATTGGGATATTTCAGCCCAGTGGTGCTGCATCTGGGCAGGAGGCAAGTGTCGGCCTTCAGATCTAGTGACATAGGGGCCACCAATGTCAGCTTTCCGTCAGGGCCCCTCGAACCGGGAGAGCAGAGCCCAGTGCAGCTCTGGACGTCGCAGCAAACCACGGATCACCCCCCCCCCCCCACACACACACACACACACACAAGCGAGCACAGCTCTCATGGCTGCGGCCTCAACCTGCTCTGTCACTCGATTAACCTTTGTAATAGTATCCGCCTCGCCTGTGAATTCCAGGATTGTTTGGTTTCCTCCCCCCTCTCTGCCCCCTTCTGTTTGAGGGCAGCCGCTCCCCCCTCAGGAATGTGCCACATTTCCCAGACTAAGGCCGCTGGCTGCTTCTCTGCCAGGACCGAAGTCACCCATCCAACACCCCGAATCCTGAACCGGCTGGGGGTTTTCCCTGGAGCCCTCTTCTCATTCTGGGGCGGGGACAGGGCCCCAGTGAGGCCCGAGGGGTGCTAAGAAAAGCTCACTTGTGATGTTAATCACTAAAAAACAGTTTATTTGCGTGAACGGATAGTCAATTAGATTTCATGGGAAAAGATCTGTGTTAGGGACCACCGTTCCCCCAAGATTCCAGGTACGGAGAGTAATCCTTATTGGTGGCTACTGATACTGCGAAGTTTGTTGGACTTGCTGAATGTTTTAGAATCCAACCCACTCATCCTCAGACTCACCGAGTCTCTGCCTGTCCAGTACAACCTCTGTCATGTGTTCTTCTCATGCCCTGAACGTACGTCCAGCCAGTGTTCACCGCCACCGCTGCCGTGCCCTTGTCTGGGCAACGTCAGATTCCAGCGTGGGCTCCTCCCCGGGTACAGCGGGCATGGGCCCCCCTCGCAAGGCGCCTCCCTCTGAGTCCGCCTCCCTCCGAGTCCTCTCCTCGCCAAGACTTAACCAAACCCAAGGTTAAGAACACAGTTCTCCAGGCTGCCAAGAAAAACCAAGATTTCTGACACTAGACACAAGTTTGGAGCACCTCAGGACCACCCTCACTTCAGACCAGCCGGTTACAAATTCAGGGTCCCCTCAGACTGTCTAGGGTTCAGAAATGTATAGACCAAGTCGTAGAACTCAGGAGAGTGCAATGCTTCCAGTTACAGTTTCGTTGTAGCAAAAGTATACAGATCACAACCAGCCAGAAGAAGAGGCAGGCGGGTGGAGGCCACTGGAGGGTTCTTGGAGATGCAGGTGGTGGTCCGGGCACAGGCTCGCCAGCTCAGGGTCACCTGAGCCTCCGTGCCCAGTGTTTTATTGGGGTCTCATGTGCAGGCATGATTGATAGAGCGCCCGGGTGGCTGTACTCAATCTCCAGGGCCCGCCCCTTCCTGGACACGGGGCTGACAGCCCGGGGCTCCGTGTCAACTCTCTAAGCACATGGTTGGTCTTTCCGGGGTGGCCAGCCCCACATAAATGATCAGATGTGGTCCCAAGGGCTCACCAAAAATAATGAAGACATTTTTTTCACCTGGGACTTAGAGGTTGCCTTCCAGGGGCCAGGACGGAGCGGAACCTCTCTTTGGGTCCGGTTAATTCTTCACTATGCATCCCTCCTTGTCCTTGACTGTCTGCCCACTTGTCCGTCTGTGCTCATCCTCATCCCAGCTGTTTTCATCGCCACATTGAGAGGCACCGATTTTTGTCTTTTCTCCATAGCAACTGACCGGGTTGACCACACCCCATTCATTCTGTGTCCCCCACGTGTCAGAGGGCATGAAGGAGGCAGTGGGCCTCCGCTGTCTTCGCCCTGCTTCTTCGCCCCTCGTACCCGGATCACCAAGTTAATCAACAAACTGGCTTTTTTTCCCCTTATAGGCTGTCTGTCCCGTCTGGTCCGTTTTGTTACCAGATTAATCTTCCCCCAGATAGTTCTTTATTTTCCCCTGACGTGTTCTTTGTATATCCGTGTTATGGTTGCTCAGTGGCTCCGGGTTATTTTCCCAGCTCTGCCCTTGGTTGGCCTTTCCTGAAACTTCACCTGCGTCTTACTCATCACCTACACAAGCTCCCAGTTCCAGCCAAGTTGTTTTCCCTCAAAACTTGCCTTCATGGTGTCCCCCCCGGCCTGCCTCTTCCTTCCCGGGGTTCTTCTCTTCCCAGGAACGCCCTCGCTTCCCGTCGACTCACCGATGCCTCCTCCGCCTTCGTGGCATGAGCCCCTCCCCGCACGACTCCCGTGGCTGCTCCTTGCCAACCAGCCTGTCTTCGGCTTTGAACCTTTTTCAACAATTTCCGGGAAATGTTACTGCACATACGCCCTGTCCTACCTTGTACTGCGAATTCTCTTTCTACGAGTATATTCATATGTACTTTCCCCTAGTTCAACTGGAAGTATCTTTTTTAAAAAATATTTTTCTTTTATTTATTTATCCTCACCTGAGGACATTTTTGCATTCATCTTCAAATAGAACGGGAGGGAGAGAGGGAAGAAGAGGGAGAGAAGGAGGAAGAGAGAGACAGAGAAACATCGATGTGAGAGAGACACATCAACTGGTTGCCACCCACATAACCCCAACCAGGGCCAGGGACAAACTGCAACTGAGGTACATGCCCTTAGCGGGAACTGAACCCGGGTCTCTCTGGTCCATGGGCCAACGCTCTAACTGCTGAACCAAACCAGCCAGGGCAAAATACTTTTCTTTATTGCTTTTAGAGAGAGAGGAAGAGAGAGGGAGAGAGAGATAGAAATATGGATGAGAGAGAACATTGATTGGCCGCCTCCTGCGCACCCCCCACTGGGGATTGGACCCACAACTTGGGCATGTGCTCTGACCGGAAATCCAACTGGCGACCTCTTGGTGTATGAATTGGGGCTCAGCCGAAAATATCTTAACAGCGAAGCCCATGTCTTATTCACCTGTATATAGTTTGTGCTACCTTTTGTGTAGAAAGTATGTAATGGATAGAACAAAGAATTCCCTTTCAGTTCGACTTTGGAGACATATTCGTGCATCAAGCCATCCACACGATCGAGTACTGCCTGGGCTGCATCTCAAACACAGCCTCTTACCTCCGGCTCTGGGCCCTCAGCCTGGCTCATGCGGGTGAGTGGACCACCGCCAGGGTCAGCTCAGGCACGTGCTTGCGTGTCTCCTCTGGGTTAGCTGGGTTATCTCCGGGTTAGCCGGGTTATCTCCGGGTTACCTGGGTTATCTCCGGGTTAGCCGGGTTATCTCCGGGTTAGCCGGGTTATCTCCGGGTTACCTGGGTTATCTCCGGGTTAGCCGGGTTATCTCCGGGTTAGCCGGGTTATCTCCGGGTTACCTGGGTTATCTCCGGGTTAGCCGGGTTATCTCCGGGTTACCTGGGTTATCTCCGGGTTAGCCGGGTTATCTCCGGGTTAGCTGGGTTATCTCCGGGTTAGCCGGGTTATCTCCGGGTTACCTGGGTTATCTCTGGGTTAGCTATTTTATCTCCGGGTTACCTAGGTTATCTCCGGGTTAGCTGGGTTATCTCCGGGTTAGCTGGGTTATCTCCAGGTTAGCCGGGTTATCTCCGGGTTACCTGGGTTATCTCCGGCTCTTCTTTCTTAGGAAGATGTGCACTCGCCAGGTAAACCCAGTGATGCTGCTCTTGTCTTGCAGAACTATCCGAAGTGCTCTGGACCATGGTGATGAGTATCGGCCTTCGCCTGCGAGGCTGGGGAGGACTCATCGGGGTCTTTATCATTTTTGCTGTATTTGCTGTTCTGACGGTAGCCATCCTCCTGATCATGGAGGGGCTGTCTGCCTTCCTGCACGCCCTGCGGCTGCACTGGTGAGGGGGGCTGCGGGCCTCCATGCGCTCGGGTGGGAAGCGGGGCTGTCGGGCCAGCCACCTGGGTTCAAATCCTGATCTGTTGTGTGACGTTAGCAGCTAACATACCTTTCGGGAACCTGAGTTTAGGCACCATGGGTGTGGTATTCAGTGATATCCTATAGGTATAAATAGATAATGGCTAATGTGGGATAAATGTTAGTTCCCACTTACTCCTCTTTTAAACTTCTGTTTGTCGTATTACAATTGGCTTTGGAATAAGGGACACCTGCAGGTGTTGGTAAGGTGACAGATCCGAAATGGGCTCGCGCAAGGCCTGCTCAGTGAGTCTGGGACCTTCGGCCCTCGTGCTGGGTGCAGGGGTCACACCCACAGCACCGGCTTGCAAACCCTCCGGAAAGTGGGGACGGAGGAGGGGCCCGCAGGAGGCCCGGGGCAGCCCCAGATGTGTCCAGAACAGACCTGTCCAGCTCGCACCTCCCTCTGTACCTACTCTTCGTAAAAAAGGTCTTTACACCTCACGTATTGAGTTGAGGATCACGATGTCCCCGGCCTCAGGTCACAGCATCATCCCTGCCCACGTCATTAGGAAGTGAACTCTGCAGCATCGTAGACGTAGATGGTCACACAGGGCGTCTGTTCTGTGAGTTACACAGAGATAAGCTGAGATTCTGGCTGCTCTGCAGTGGCGTCAGCCCTGCAATTTAGGATCGGGATGGAAACGAAAAAGCACGTCTAACTGGTGACGAGCTCTCCTCGCCGGCTCACCCACAGTGGTGCAGAGCGAGGGCTTCTTTGCTTGGTGGTTATGCTGGGCTGTGAGGCCACTAGCAGGGGCCTGGAGCAGAGGGGAGGGGGAAGGAAAGTGTGAGAGAGAAGGGTTGCAAAAGACTCAGGCGATCCCTGTGGCAGCATCAGTTTGGGTCCCTCCCCACACGCCTTCCAGACCCTGCGCTTGATCTGAGCATGCTCTTGTCTCCAGCTGCCAGCCTGTTGCTGTGTGTTTAACCCCCTTCTTCTTGCCTCCAACAACAGGGTGGAGTTCCAGAACAAGTTCTACACTGGGGCTGGGTACAAGTTTTCTCCGTTCTCCTTTAAAAACATCCTGGATGGGACCGCCGAGGAGTAGCTGCAGGTCCCACCACCTCCTGCAGGGGTCGCGTCTTGAACAGCAGCCACACAAGGCGGTCAATGGGCCGATTGTTCTCAGCCACACGTATTGTTCAGTCACAAGCCTTGGGATTTGATGCGACTTCACCTTGTCACAGAGAAACTACGTGGGCAAGTCCTCTCACCCTCGCGTTTGAGAAACTGGGGAGGTCTTGCTAAACTCGTGTTTTCTTGTAATGTTTTAAGTATTATATTTAAGAAAATAAACTTCTGGGGCCATTCACTTTTCCTTCGAGATGTCATTATGCAAAATGACTTCATCAGATGTAATGTTGATGCTTTCAGGGCAAAGTTAAACAGTAGAGTTACATGAACGACTCCCAAAGAAGGATTATGTGTATTTGGTTTCTTTCTTTCCTGTGTCCTCAAACACCTTTTTTCCTTGTCTGGGGTTAAGCGTTGCAAGAGCAGGAACTTTCTCATGGATTTTCTCTCCGGGTGAGGAGGAACGGATCAGGTTCAGTGTTCTGGGGACGGCTGGCCCCCAGGTGGCCCTCTGCCTTTTTAAATCCCGTGGAATGAAGTGTGACGATGTGACATCATCAGCAACTTTGCTCTGAAAGTACGTTGTGCTGGAGACTGGAGAAGGTGACTTGTTGGCTTGGACACGTTCGAGGGCCAGGTGTAGAATAAGGTTGTTCCAAATAGACACACAGACTGATAGAACAGTGACCCGTCCCGCAGGTCGAGCAACCAGGACTTTAGAGGGGGAGTGAGGATGAGGAGGGACAAGAGACACGAGAAATGGAGACAAGACAGGGTTCTGATCAAGTCTCGTTTATTCTGGGGAAATCCACACAATATAGAGGGCAAGAAGCAGAAAAACAAGAACATTTGTTGCCAAGAGATAAGTTATTGAGAAACCACCCCGAAGCAATTTCAAGTAAATATCAAAATATCACGCGTGGAACAAAAGATAAACAGAGCACAACTGGCTGAGTAAATGGTTACTTAAAGGAATGCAGAAACATTGTATACAGAGGTATCCTGCCTTGGGGCAGGAGATGGCAGAGCAGATTTTAACAAAATGGAAGCCATGCAAATAGTCTCCCACAGAACAGAAGTGACAAGGAGCCAAAAGCTACAGGGGAGGAAGGAAAGCATCTTCGGTAAATGGTGCTGGGAAAGTTGGAAAGCCACATGCAAAAGAATGAAACTAGACTGCTGTCTGACACCATGCACAAACATTAACAAAATGAATTAAAGACTCGAATATAAGAACTGAAACAATAGAATACATGAAAGAACACAGAGGTACTAAAGGTATGGACCTTGGTCTCAAAAGGGTTGTTGTGAATTTGACCCCAAAGGCCAGGGGAGTAAAAGCAAAAATAAGTGAATGGGGCTACATCAAACTAAAAAACTTCTGCACAGCAAAAGAAACCATCAACAAAACAAAAAGGCAACCAACCAAATGGGAGAAGATGTTTGTAAATGATATCTCCGATAAGGGGCTAATATCCAAAATATATTTTAAAAAACTCATACAACTCAACAAAAACAAACAAATTAAAAAGTAGACAGAGGACCTGAATAAACACTTTCCCCAAGAAGACATATAGATGGCCAACAGATATATGAAAAGATGCTCAACTTTACTAGTTATAAGGAAAATGCAATCAAAACCACGAGATACCAGCTCCCACCTGCTAGAATGGCTGTGATCGATAAGACAAGAAATACGTTGGAGAGGATGTGGAGAAAAGGGAACCGTTGTACACTGCTGATGAGGATGCAAACTGGTGCAGCCTCCATGGCAAACACAATGGAGGTTCCTCAACAAATTAAGAACTGAGCTACCAAATGACCCAGAAATCTGGGTATCTACCCCAAAATTTACTCACAAAGATATATGCATTCCTATGTTCATTGAAACCTTATTCCCAGTGGCCAAGACATGGAAATAACTGAAGTGTCCTTCAACGAATGAGTGGCTAAAGAAGATGTGGTACCTATATACAATGAAATACTACTCAGCCATAAAAAATGATGAAATACAGACATTGTGACAACATGGCTGGACCTTGAGAGTTTTATGCTAAGTGAAATAAGACTGATGGAAAAGGAGAAGAACCATATGATTTCACTTCGTGTGGGATATAAAACAGAAAGCAACAAACCCACAGACAAAACAAACTCATGGAGACTGGGCCGTGTGGCTCCATGGATTGAGCGTCGTCCCATGGACTGAGAGGTCCTGGTTTGATTCCTGGTCAGGGCACATGCCCAGGTTGTGGGCTTGATTCCTGGTCAGGGCACATGCCCAGGTTGTAGGGGGTGTGCAGGAGGCAGCTGATTAATGTTTCTCTCTCACGTTGATGTTTCTATCTTTCTCTTCCTCTCTCTCTAAAAAATCAATAAAAACATATTTTAAAAAAGAATATATCTATAAAAAACTCATGGACACAGACAACTGTATGGTGGTTACCAGAGAGGTAAGGGGGTGGAGGTTGGGGAGGTTGAAAAGGGTAAAGGGGATCAAATATATGATGATGGAAGGTAACTATACTTTGGAGCAGGGTGAGCATAAAATGCAATGTACAGATGATATATTATGGAATCGTACACCTAACACATGTTATTAATCAATGTCACCCCAATAAATGTAATTTAAAAAAAGATTGTCCCATCCACTATTTAGTCTGAATGACCTTTATCGAAATTAATTATAATTTTTATGCTAACTATACTGGCTATACTGGTAGAATGAAGTCTAATTTATATATATAAATTAAGTCTAATTTGTATATGTAAATTTATACACACACACATTATGTGTATATATGGTGCTTTCCAATTTACAAAGCACTTTCGTATAGTATCTGGGTCTAAATAAGATTCCTTTGGAGAGGTCTCTTTCTGTCAGCCCCACCTGCCCCTCTGTGTATTGGGTTGACTGTTGCTTATGGAAGTGTCATTGCTCATACCCAAGGGGGCTTCCCTGTCACCTTCCACATCAATGTCATGACTTGTCCAGCACAACTTCAGACACAATTAGATGCTCCACAAATATTCGTGTAATGATTAAAACAGGCTGAGCCCAAGAAAGACAGTTGGAATCAGAGGATGTATATACCTTTGAGTTCCAACCGCGATACTTCACTGTGGGTGCCCTCAGGCTGGGCGTCGAGTTGTTCCCCTTATTGCCAAAGTGGTGATAGTGCTCGCCACCTCTGGGTCGTGGAAAGGGGTTGTGAAGCAGTGGGCATGGACAAGGCCCTCAGTCAATGACGTCGACTCCACACCGCCAAGTCACTGGACAGGGTCAAGGTTCTCAGCTCGTTACTGCCCTTCTCAACAGCTGTCCAAAAATATGCTCTGCTTAGACGGACCACAGGCCTTTTGCCCTTTACTTCCTACAGTGATGGCTGCAAGTAAAGCTTTGAAAAGGCAGAACTTCCCTCTGCACCTTGCCTAGACCCCTGCTCGTTCAGAAATGCCCCCAGCCTTCCTGAGAATAACATTAGTATCCTCCAAAGCTTTCTGTTTCCATAGGAGACGTGATTTCTCCTTTATAAAGGGATCAGGTGAAGGGCTAAGAGGAGGGTGTGACCTGAATATCACTCACGTGTCCAGGATGCAAGGTTGTTCCTCAAATAATCCTGTTCACAGAACTGAGCCAAAAGGGGAGGAGAAGACCTGGGGGCCAGGTTTCTTGGGAAAGTAAACCCAGAAGCCATCAGCGGTCCACCTTCTACGTGGGACTTGGCTACTGTGAAGGGGAAGCAATTGAACCCCAAACTGGAAAGATTTCCAAGAAATATACAGAGGTAAGAAACTCCACCGGGCAACATGGGTTTATTTCTCCTGCTCTGGGGTGGTAGGTGCGCTGGCCTGTGAGTGGATGGCTGAAGGCAGAGAGAGTATGGAACTTGCTTCCTATTGATGCCACTGCAAAACGAATTACATCACACACACACACACACACACACACACACAGGTTCAGTTTTAAAATCTCAGGGGCCCAATTATTTCTGGCTAAAAACTTTAGTACAGTAAAATGGACTAGAATAAAGTATCTGCCGGTCACCTAGGATTTGTTTTAGTGACGTTTGAGCTCCATCTGAGCCTCTGAATTCCAGAATAGGTCCTCAATGTATCAGGTCTTTTTTTTTTCTTTATTAATTTTAGAGAGAGAGGAAGGAAGAGGGAGAGAGAGATAGAAACATCAATCCGCCGCCTCCTGCACGCCCCCCACTGGGGATCGGGCCCACAATCTGGGCATGTGCCCTGACCAGGAATTGAACTGGTGACCTCTTGGTGCAGGGGTCAATGCTCAACCGCTGAGCCACACCAGCCGGGCAATATATCAGCTCTTTATCTTATTTTTTTGAAGGTAGGTCATGGGTTACTTTTCCCTTCTAGTTTTTAAGGAGCTCACGGGGCTGGGAAGCATCCTTCCCTGTATTATTTCCTGTTTTCCTACATTGGTCTGATTAGCCATCCATCCACCCACCCACACTCTTCCTAGGTTGAAAAGTTAGGAAGCCAAACAATAGAAGATGCCAACTCAGCTTTTCCAACATTTCAAAGTTGAGAGTATGAACTCTCTCTCTCAGTACTGTTCCTCGTCTCCATCTCTGAAACATTTTGTCCTCTTCCTTGTGAAAACATTTCTTTATGAAAAATGTGCCTGAAACTCTAGTAAATACCAAGTGAACACTTTCCATGCCTGTTAACTTTGAGTTAGCGTTTGAGTCCTAAGAATGACCTGGCATGTAAGCTCTTCACAGATGTCACGACTTGTCGAGTCACAGAGGCACAGATGTAAATGCCCACATCCTGCCCGTCCACCCACATTTCTGCACCCCCCACTGGCATGCCCCCACCGAAAGAACCCTGTTATAAGACCTCGTGGGGCCTCCTAGGGCCGGAACGAGAAATTTCTCTGTTGCAGGTAACTTGTACCTTTGTCTGTTCCATCTCTTGGCAGCCTCCCTAACACTGGGAATCCATGGG